AAGGGAATTAGAAAAGGAAAGATGTAAAACGAACTGGCTGTTCTCTAGATGTACTGATAACACTTTTCTCCACCAGAGGTACAGTTAGGACTAAGGACATGTGTCTTTGAGGTGCACGACCTGGAACAACAGCAACAGTTTGGATTCATATAGGGAGCTTCACTTGGGGTAGGGTCTCGGAGTGCTTAACAGTGATGGAGTCTTGACGCCAAGTTGCAGTGGGAGGGAGGAAGTGACCATAAGCACAGTCACACACCTCAGCTCACCAGCATGTGCCTCACAGTCACCTTCTGCTGACCCATACACTTCTGACATCACAGGTTTCGGGCAAAAAAAAAGTTGATAGAAAAAATGGACCAAGATAATGATATTAACATATCATGAATCTCACATTTGATACAGCGCCTTTCGTTTCGGGAGGACATCTGCAAAATGCTTCACGGGATATATTGTAACATGCGGTGACGCTGTAATAATAATAATAATAATAATAATCCTTACATTTGATATAGTGCCTAATCACGTCGATAGGCCTTCTCAAAGCACTTCACAGGAATTTCTGTTAAATGGAGTGACTTTGTACTTGTAGACAATTGTGGCAGCACAATGACATACAGCAATGTCCCACAAACAGCAATGAAATGAATAACCAATCTTTCTATTTGGAGGGATTGTCAGTCAGGACACCAGGGGAAACTGCCCCTTCACTTTTCGAACAGTGCCATGGGATATTTAATGTTCACCTGAACAGGCAGACGGGACTTTGGTTTTATGTCTCATCCGAAGGACGACACCTCGGCCAATGCAACACGCCCCCAGCACTGCATTGGAGTGTCAACTTAGATTATGTGAGTTCAAGACCCATTGAGCCAAGTTGACACCTTATATTATGTTTATGTGTGGACGGAAACATTGAGCTCATTCAGTATCCACAGTAGTGAGGTAAAAGGGCAGAAGTTGACACACAGGACATTCATTGAGAAAAAGGCATTAATCAAAGACAGGGTTGTGCTGCTGGCACTTGGCAAATACTGAATGCCTCTGTGTTGCATTGGTGTCATCCACCCCAATCCTGCCTAGTGGATGTATCTTTGCTGTATTCTCTGAGGTCTGCAGGCCTCTGGGTTCCTCATGCTGTTGTACTAACTCAAATTCAGGGACTATGGAGTCCAATATTTTATAGCAGCCCAATGTGCGTTATGCATTACCTAAACCAACCAAGGCGTATCTGATATCAACGAATTACTTTATACAGAGGTCCACTAGATTGCTTTTCTGGCTGTGCATTTAATTAGACTTATTGATTGCCTTATACTCAATAATCCACTACTTAATCGTTTGCTACTCCTGTGGAACAGGACATAATAGATATCAATGTGAACAGCCCTTAGAGACTTGACGTTCTCACATGCAAGTCTGCGCTACTCAACTAAAATCATGATCAGCGCAGCTCAAGCCTAGGAACTAGCTGTGATGTAACCAAGGCCAATAAAAATAACACAGAAAGGCTAATCAATTCTAAACCACAAACTACTCAAAACAACAAGGTGAAGGAAACTGAGACAGTCACAGCCCATGAGAACCAGGAAGCACACAGCGGAGATAGCAGAGCATCTTAGAAGGAGAAACTGTCCCACTTTTTGTGTTGCACAACAGTAACTTGCATTTATATAGCGCTCTTCACATAGGGCAACGTTTTGGAGCGCTTCACTGCGGTGGGCTTGAATGCAAAAACAAGGATGGAAATTCCACCAATTGAAACTGAGGCAACTGCTGAAAGCAGCTAAAACTGCGTAGCTTGCCATTGATATCACTGTCTGGCAAGCTTTGTTTTTATTTCCCGCTGCTTGTCCAGCAAGGACCACCCTACCCATTAGAGCTTTTACTTGCAGGGTTAACAGGAGCTGAGTGGGATGATTTCCTGCTCCCAGTGCTTCACAGGATATATTTTAAAGTGCAGTGACACTGCATGTTTTTTGGAACACTTCACAGTAGGGGAGTTGGAGGCCAAGCAAGGATGGAAAATCCACCAACAAAACAGCCACTTGCAGATTTAGTCAATGACCCTCCCTGTAAACTCCAGAAAGAAACTGACACTGAAAAACATCCAGATCACGTCACCCAACTTCCACTCCCAACTGCAACTCTGTAAAAGAAGCCGCAAATCCGCTGAATAAACAGAAAATGCATCAGCAATGTCCAATCCATGGAAGTTAAATATAAACCAAGTCACGCCAGGCACAGAAGGGCATTGGCAGGTTAAGCTGGCAGCACTATTCAGTGCTTTATTTTCCATAAACTATCAGACCCCTTTATATCACTGCCAGAATTTGTAATATAAATATTGCTCAACCAGCCCGAGCAGAGTTTACCACATTGCTCCTCAGACGTTGGAGCTAATCTTGGAAGCAACCCAGGGAACCAGCAATAAACCCTTAAGATCCACAAATAAATCTCACTCCTATACTCAGCGCCTTGGGACGTCCTCCCGACATGAAAGGTGCTATACAAATGTAATCTTGTTGTTGTTGTTGCTGTTATTGCAATGCAACGCATGATTGATCAAAGTACAAGGTCTATACGTGTGAAATCAAACAATGGAAATTGTTGGTTAAGGGGAAACTTTGCAGGACATCCATTTAAATGACAGAAATGTGAGAACTGCTCCACGTTTGCTCTGGAGCGGAAAAGTTCAATGAGCAATTTATATATACGGGGCAACGGAGCAATAATAATCCCTCCAAAACCAAAAACAATAATAAATTGGTCATTTTCCATCTACGACTGTTTGTGGGACATTGCTGTGCGCAATTGGCTGCCGCGTTCGCCCACAAATATACAGTCAATTCACTTTACAGTATATTCTGTGAAGCACTTTGGGACGTCTTCCCAACGTGAAAAGCGCTATATCAAATGCAAGGATTATTATTATTATATTAGTGCGCTTGCCTTGCAAACGAGAGTACTCAGGTTCGATTCCCGGGCGGGGCGAAACCTTAGGCAAGTTTTCTTACTCCACATGTCTCTGTTCACCTAGCAGTAAGTAGGAACCCAGTTGTTAGTCGATTGGTGGATCGCTTTCCGGGTTATAATTCCTTCAAAAAAATATTAGGTTACTCAATCCACGACTGTTTGTGGAACACTGCTGTGTGCAATGGGCTTCCACGTTTCGCATACAAAATATATAGTTAATATACTTTACAATAGAAACTGTGAAACGCTTTAAGACGTCTCAACGACGTGATAAGGCACTAAATCAAATGCAAGCATCATTATTATATAATTATAATGATAATATAATAACCTGCTACCCAAAGAAACAAATAGAGCATGGACAGTGTGTCACAGCCTCAGAATAAATCCAACAGAATAGATGAAAAGAGACAAGATAAGTCAGGAGCCGAAAGATCTAGAAAGAGGCAGGATTTATAAAGCTTGAACAACTCAAAAGACCTCAGCTCTTCCCAAACCCCATCTCTGTGTCTGGCATCTGTGTGTATATCACATTCACTAAATGTGTTTACTGTATGAGATTTAAGTGAAGTCGGAGAGAGTTTTTGGCACTGGCAGCAGTAAGCAAGCAACTTGACAGCAATTCTGTGTGAAGTACTTGAGGTGTTTCACCGTTAAAAGCGATGTGTCAAATGCAAGGACTGTTATTATTATAATATTACAATTAGAATAAAATTCTGGAATACTGAACACTGAAGTGGAGCCTTCAGAATGGTGCGCAGACCTAAACATCGTGTTTCAATTCAAATTATTATATTTAAACCACTATCAACCATAAAGTGGGAATGCATTGGTGCCAATAACACACCAGGGAATCGTAGCAAAAAATTCTAAATAATTCTGGTAAAATTCTGAAAGAATAGAACAGGTACAGAGGAAATAACAACAACAACTTGCATTTATATAACGCCGTTCACGCAGGGTAGCGTCCCAAAGCGTTTAAAAGTGACAGAGCCTGACGCTGAGCTGGGGGGAGGGAGGAGATGACCTTAAACAGAGTCGAGGAGGAAGGTCTTCAGTCGTGATCTAAAAGAGGGTAAGGAGGTGGCAAGGCGGAGGGACTGAGGGAGAGTTCCAAAGCTTTGGGGCGTAGTGGCTGAAATTGCAGCCGCCGATCGTGGAGCGGAGGGGACGTGGGACAAGCAGGAGGCCAGAGCCAGTCGAATGGAGGCAGCGGGTAGATAGATACAGGGAGATACAGACTGGGATCAGTGCATATTGCTTCCCATAACAAACGTTACTTGGCTTGTGGCCTGGGATCTGATCTCGAACCTCCTGGCCCAGAAAACAGATGTTTCCATAACACCCGCCAGGCAGGCACCTGGAGCAGGCACCCCAGCTGAGGGAAAGGCTTCACTGGGAAGGCATGGCCTTTGTCAGTCAGTCAATCCTTCCCACCGTCACGAGCTCTTCCCAAGCAGTGGCCAAGCATAAACCCCAGAAGAGAAGGTCTATTTAGTGCTGCCTCCAAAGAACATCTTGTTTTCTTTTCTCAATAGAGAACAAAAAAAGGGGAGGGAACGGCACAGAATCCAACTTTGGTCAACAGCCCTCAGCTGGCAGAAGGCGCCAGGGTACATGGGGCCACAGCAATCCTGCCAAGTGCAATACTGTCAGTCCACGGAGTCTGACATCAGCCCTGATAGACAGCACCACAGCCTTTCACAGCACACTTCCTCAGAAGGGACACTTTCTATAAGTACAGTTCTCAAACACAAGAATTAATAATAATAATAATAATAATCCTTGCATTTGATATAACGCCATATCACGTCTTTGCAACGTCTCAAAGCGCTTCACAGAATAGACTGCAAAGTGAATTGATTGTATATTTTGTTGGCAAAACGTGGCAGCCAATTGTGCATAGCAGCGTCCCACAAACAGCTGTGGATGGAGTGACTAGATTATTATGATTTATTCATTTAAAAGACGACAACAGTACCAAGTTTTAACCTGATGTGTCACTGCTTACAATACACTGTACGTACCTCTGGATACAACACGCTGGGAGCTAGGATTTGGAATTCATTACCACTGCTGGCTATTGAGGGCTGGAACAATTGGCGTATTCAAAGGGAAACTGGAAGAAAAAGCAATAAGAGATTTGGAAGGAGAGAGCTAGAAAATGGGATTAATAAACAAAAGACAATTTAGGCAGATTTTATGTTACAGGATCTGGAATCCCAAAATGCAGAGTGAGTCAAGTTTCAGAATCTTTTACAACCTATATGTCCCACAAGTCTTCCTCGCTTCAGTGGGGCTGGTGGGCAGTCCGGGGGTTGGGGGGGGACGGTGTGCGGCGGGGGGGGGGGGTGGAGCAGTAGGGGTGGGGGAGTACATAAGCGACCACTGCTATGACTTTTGTTTATTTTTATTCTATGCTTTGAATCAATTGGCGGGGGGTGTGCCAACACTGAGGCTATGTTTCTAGGACCCCCCACAATACTGAGGTCTGAATTTCTGGGACAGTCTCCCCCCCCCCACAGACACACACACACGCACAAAACTGTCGTGCATTATGTGTGCACCATTTGTTTTTTATCTAGCTGCTTTATATAATGTACTTTAATACCGCGTCACATTTGCATTGCATCCTTTTTCGCTTTTCACACATTTCTGTTCTGAAACCTTGTTTGTCATTCAGAACGTCGATGCAGGGATGTGCAAAACGGAATCTGTGTATGAGTAAAAAGTAAGCTAAAACATTTGATTCTATTTTTAAACAAAGCTTTTGCATGATTTTTTTTTGCACATTGGGGCTGAGTGTTATAGTTTGCTTCAAAAGGGGACGGTAACACATTTGGCTATAAAATCAGTCACAGCATTTGACAGCCATTCACTGTAAAGTGCTTTGAGACATTTTGACACGATAAAGCACTTAATGTAGGTTCTTCCCTCTTGCTCATTCACACAGATCATAATTAGTCAGTAGTCATTAGTATGTCCAGTACAGATAGTGCTGCCTGGATTGCTCCGCAAATAAATATTCATCAATAAAACTATAATTAAAACATTTTTTTTTGCCAACGGTGTCAGGCTGGCTCAGCTGGTTGCACTCTCATCTCCGAGTCAGAAGGTAATGATTCAAGACCCACGTCGGGGGCACTGAACTTTCAGTCCAGGCTACACTCCAGTGCAGTGGTGGAGAAGCATATTTTTGGGGGTGGTGGGGGGGGTGGAAGAGAGGGGTATGGATTGACAGACGGGCACTGCAATGTCAGAAGTGCTGGCCTTCGGGTGTGAGGTGAAACTGAGGCCCCCATCTGTCCATTCAGGTGGACGTTAAAAGATCCCATGGCATTATTCCTAAAGAGTTTCTCTCGGTGTCCTTGCCAACTATCCCCCAGGTAATATTGGTCATTCACTTCATGGCTGTGAAGGGCGCTGGGACATTGCTGTGCGCAAGTTCGCCTACAAAATGCAGAGTCACCACACTTGACAGTAAATTTTGTAATGTGCTTTGAGACGATATGAAATGTGCTGTAGCAAATGCAAGCATTAATAGTATTACAAACGGTATTTAGTGCGGATAAATGTGAACCATGGAGCAAAAGAACCAACAAACACATGCTTTCTAGTAACAATGCCTCACCAATGGGGCACCAAAATATGCACTTTTACACAGGCAATAAGTGCGGGTGAATCATAACATTGGCCAATCTATCTTGGTTTGCTGCTGAAAATAACAAAAGGGCAATTTGTTAAAAAAAATTACTGAAATAACCACCGATGTTACTTGATGAAAATCAGAAAAAATAAAAGCCTATTTCCACCAACCATTAAGTGTATGACACATGTATGACATCTCACCATGACACTTCACTTATTTCCATTATCATAGCATGTTTACAGCATGAAAGGAATTAAATCCACATTGTGCCTGTGCTCATGCTACCTCCCTCACATGAGCTATCTCGTCTAATCCCATTTCCCTACTCCTTCCTCAAACCCATTAATAGTTTTTTCCTGCAATTATTTATCCAATTCTTTTTAAATGCTGTTATGACCTCAGCTTCTATGCAGCCATTTGTGCAAACGTCTTACACATTTTAGTGATAATCCTCCAACTATGCCCTCCTATCACTGACTCACCAATCAGTATTTAACCTAGCAAAATGAGTTTTTGAAAACCTTCATTCAATCCTCTTAAATTGATGTCACTAGGTATCAAAGGTAAAACATGGACGTGAGTTAGTAACTAGGTCAAAATGGGGGAGATATTAATTGGGATTCCAGTACCATCGTGTACTATAACATAAGTCTCTATCATCTCAGACTCAGCAGGAGTCAGTTTTCTATTGTACTTGTGTGTGTTGCTGAGCTGCTGTCTGTCGAGATTCCAAAAAAACAAGAGCTAGTTTTCTCTTATTTTCTCTTATGTCTCGTTCTAATACTGAGCAATGCCGGTTCTGAATAGGATTCATCGCTTACTTTAGACCCTACCTAAAGACCACACTGTACAATTCTCAGTCAGGTACAATGTGGTGCAGGTCAAGATACGAGTGGCAGGGTTTGGGGTACTATGGATGGTGGATCTCTTGAGACCAGTGAGGAATGCATTTGAAAAGCCTAGGCGGGCAATAACAGAAGCACAAATAATGGTTTCAGTGGCGGTTGGTGTGAGAAAAGGGTGGAGGCGAGCAATGTGGTGGAAGTGAAAAAAAGCTGCTTTGGTTAGGGACCAAGGAACAAACCGGATATTAAGGTTGCCCACTGTGAGTTTGAGAGAAGCCAGTGAGGTTGACGATATCAGAGAGGAGACAGAGGATGTCAGTGAGGGGACATTGCTCTTGAGGGTGGCTTCTATGCTGTTCATGTTATGTTAAGTGCTTGATGCTGACATCCAAGAGAGCAGAACATCAGGGGATGTAGAATCCGTGGACAGGAACTGGAAAAGTATGAATTAGGTATCACATGCATACACACTAATTGCATTTGTGCAATTGTCACAGAGGGTGAAGCGAATCTGTAGAAGGATTTGATCACAACCACAATGGTCTTGAATTTGATCCATTGGAGGATGGGCAGACCGTGTGGTCCAGTAAGGATACAATACAACACAAAATTATATTTGTATAGCGCCTCTCACGTCCAAAGGACGTCTCAAGCCGTTGAACAATCAGGGATTTGGACCCAAGCGGCGGGTGATTGGGTTAAGGGATGGTGGAGTGCAGGGAGGGTAGGATGGTGGCCAAAGGCACGGCCATAGAGGAGGGTCTTGAGACATGCCTTGAAGGGAGCGAGGCGAAGGGAATGTGGAATGGAGTTCCAAAGAGTGGGGGCGGAGAGACTGAAGGCCTGACCACCAATGATGGGGCGGACCGGATCAGTAGAGAGAGCGGACAGGTTGTTAAGGGGTTAGCAGGTCACTGAGGTAGGAAGGAGCAAGGCCGTGAAGGACCTTCAAGGTGAGGACGAGGATTTTGAACTCTATCCTCTGAAGGATAGGGAGCCAGTGGAGCCGAGGGAGGGTAGGGGTGATGGGGTCACTGAGCCGGGTGCGGGAGACGACACAAGCTGCAGAGTTCTGGATCATCTCCAATTTGTGTAGGAGGAGCTGGGGAGTCTAGAGAGCAGGATATTTGATTAGCTCTAAATTTGAAGAGTGTAATTCCATATTCACAGCTGTGTATTGTAGCTGAGGGGGGTGTGAATACCCCACTAAAGCTAGATTTTTTCCTTCACAATACAAGATCACAAGAGAGGTATGGATGAAGAAAGCCCTTTGGCCCATTTAATCTCATCCTTTCAGAATATCCACTGTACTGTCTTCCCATCACAGGCTCAAGCACGACCAGGTAATAATAATAATCCTTGCATTTGATTTAGCGCCTTTTAGACATCTTTGAGACATCTCAAACCCCTTCACAGAATATACTATAAAGTTAATTGATTGTCTATTTTGTATGCGAAACGCGACTGCCATTTGCGCACAGCAGTGTCCCAAAAACAGTCGTGGAGTGAAGTGACCAACTTTTGTTTCTAAGGAATTATTACCCCCAGATAACTAACAACTCAGTTCCTACTTACTGTTAGGTAAACAGTGGCATGTGGAGTGAGGAAACTTGCCCAACGTTTTGCCCTACCGGGAATCAAACCCAGGTCTCTCGCTTGCGAGGCGAGTGCTCTTACCACTGAACTACAGGATTCCACAACAGGTAGTGACTGTTTAACATCGCTAACCCATGTGAATGCCTTCCCATTCCCACAATCCTATTTACAACGTCTACAACAAAGTGCCACCTGATGTTGCTTTCTCTGAAAACGTATCTTTGTTTCTTTTTGAAAAAGAATTACCTGAAATAATAAGTTATCTGCTACTTGTGACTAATGCACAGACCACAGATTAAAGAGACCTGAAAGTACAGTAAAATAATGAAATAATATTCCTTTCATCCGATAATAGCACCTTAACATACGTTGAGACTTCTCACACCGCTTCAAAGGATATACTGTAAAGTGGATTCACTGTGCGTGAAAGCGCAAAGCAATGTCCCACAAACAGCCGTGGAGTGAGTGATTAATTTTATTTGGGGGATTGTTGGCCAGGATATCAGGAGAAACTTCCTTCTCTTTTCTAATAGTGCCATGGGATGTTTAACATCCACCTGACCAAGCAGATGGGACCTCGGTTTAACTTCCCGAAGGAGGGCACCCCCGACATTGCAGCACACCCCCAGTTCTGCATTGGAGTGTGAGCTTCGGCGAAGTGATCCCAAGTCACAATGTGGGGCTTGAATCCACAACCTTCTGACTCAGTAACTAATTTTACTTGGTTGGGGGCAGGAGGTGGGGTTGTTGGCAAAGACCCCGGGAGAAACTTAAGAATCGTTTTGCTGAAAAATCATTCATGTTTTAAGTCTGTGATGGACTGCTGCTGCCTGAGTGTCAGATGACGGGAGGTTGGGGGATGAAGTCCAACCTGCAAATTGGCTCAGCCAGCAGAAGAGGTCACGCCTTACCTTGGACAAGGCAAGTCCTTGGGTGCTGCAGCTCCTAGCGACTGTCTGGGGTAACAGCAAGCGGCTTGACGGCTGGGTTCTTGCAAATACAAGCAGCACAGAACTGACTCCCAAGCCCACAAGATTCGCAGCCAAGTCGTGGGAACGAGTGAGTGGCAGGTCCCCGCCTTCCTCCAGAAGGAATCCAGCGCAATGCCCTTTCCTCTCGCACATCCGTCCATGAAGGTCACACTCAGAACCAACCGGTTTCTCCTGGTTTCTCCCTTATATAAAGCTTTGTGATTGAGACACTTTACAGATGAGGTAGGGAGGGGTGGCGGGTTGGGGTGTATACAAATAAAAGCCCACGATGCAAATATAGATTGGATTTGGATTCCCCCAGCACTTTGAACTGGTGCGACAGTTCAGTAATTCTCTTTTGTTTTCATTTATTATTATTTTTTTTCTCTGTCTCTCTCTCTCTCTCTCTCTTGCTCTCTGGTGTGTGGTGGCACGGTGGCAAGCTTGACGCTAATGTTCAGGCCTTGTTTTCGGTCTCGGGTGGAAAGGGGTCCGTCGCTTTATTATCGCGCGGATCCCAACGATCCGATGCCTCGAGCGGTCCAGGGCGCTTGTGGTGGCTTGGCTGGGTCAACTCACATCCACGCCCAGCCTCTCATCCCCTCCTTGCTTCCTCCCTGGTTCAAAAAAGCTCGCATTTTATTGTCGTTTTCACCCCCCACCCCCCTCTGCCCCCCGTTTGTTACTCTTCAATTCACAGCGGGGATTTTTTTCTTTTTCTGCAAGTTCAGACTGATGGTGGAACCATCTGGAAGGAAGGTAATCACTGTGGAAACTGCGAGGCGGTGTCATAGCAACCTGCCAAAAGTTACCCTGGAAACTGTGTGTTGCTGTGGAAACTGCATCATCTTCTTCTTGGCCCTTTTTGTTTCGCACACAGAATACCCGACAGAAAGCCGTCTCTCTCTCCCTCTCTCCCTGTCTCTGCTCTTACTCTCTTTCTCTTCCATTGCAAATAAATAATCAACCCGGGGTTGGGTTGGGTTGGGATGGGATGTTTTGGGGTTGTTGTTGTTGTTGGTGGTTGTTTGTTGTTGTTTTCTTTGTTTGTTTGTTGTTGTTTTGTTGCTTTTCAGCCACGGCTTCTTCTCCTTCTTGTCGTCCAGAGAAAGGCTGAGCGGATAATAACATCGCCACGAAGCCCCACAGCGCAAAACTGGGGACGCGCTCGCTCCGTCTCCGCTCAGTGAAGAGGTTGTTGCTTTCTTTCTCTCTGTCTTTCTGTCTTTCTCTCTCTCTGTGTGTCTCTCTCTTTCGCTCTTTCTCTCTCTCTCTCTCTCACTCTCTGTCTCTCTCTCTTGGCATCACCTCCCCGGCTCTTTGCAAATGGACTGACTTGATTTGACTGACTGCACTGTTGTCCACGGGTTTCCCCCCCATGTTACTGCTGTGTGTAAAAGCAAAAGGGGCAACGACTCTTTGAGCTTTGCACAACTGGGTTTTACACACACAAACACAGACACACACACACACACATACACACATGCACATCACGAACGAGTGTTAAGCACATCACAAAAACACACACACACACACACACAGAGCCGGAGATTGGAGTCGACACGTCGCTAACTTGGGTGGTTGTTGCATTTTGTTTTTTTGTTGTTGGTTTTTTTTCTCGTGAAATATAACGAGACTGTCTTCATTCCCCCCCACCCCACCCCACCCCCCCAAATGTTATTTACATCTTTCTTGGCTGCATCTGAAGCTGTGACAGACACAACGCACATTTTTGCTCAATAAATAACACACACACGCACACAACTGTTGAAGGAATTAAAAGAGCATCCACAACTGTGTGGGAAACAGGAATGGGTCTGTGTGTGTGTGTGTTCTGTGTCAAACAAAGCGCTTTGATGATGAACAGAGAGAGAAAGACCAGAGAGAGAGGGAAGGAAGGAGGGAGAGAGAGAGAGAGAGAGAGAGAGATCCAGTCTGACCTTCACCAAACCAAACCAGTGACAGTTCAGCTCCAATTAAACACAGTGCCTTCTTCAAATATTGAAGATGAGTCCTCTTGAACTATCGTAATTCTATATTTTCTTTCTTTTTTTATATATATATTTAAAAAAAAGCTGACCTGACCACACTGATTGAAGGTGATGGGGGCAATGGGGGCAATGGGGGCAATGGGCACGAGTGAGTGGGCGAGGACCGAGGCTGGCTCTTGTCACGATGATTTGCTGTCCCCCTCTTCTCAGTCAACTTACACGTCGGTGAAGATCTTCTTGATGGCCACACAGTTCGGGGCGTTCGCGGTGCAGTTCCCGGTTTGGAAGTTGACCTGTTTGTGGTGGTGGTGGTGGTGGTGGTTGATGCCTTCCTCGATCACCATGTACTCAGACTTGCTGAGGGACGAGCTGCTGCGGGACTTCTTCAGCTCCTCGGTGCAGGAGGAGGAGGAGGAGGAGGAAGGGGAAGGGGACAGGTGGGGACAACTGGTGACATGGAGATACTGAGCTTGCTCCTCGCCCTCCGTCTCCCGGTGGTAGAAATAGTTAAAGTTGGAGACGATGACCGGGACGGGCAGGGCGATGGTTAAGACCCCGGCGATGGCGCACAGCGACCCCACGATCTTGCCCCCGATGGTGATGGGGTGCATGTCCCCGTAGCCCACGGTGGTCATGGTCACCACCGCCCACCAGAAGGCGTCGGGGATGCTGCTGAAGCCCGAGCCGGGGTCGTCGGCCTCGGCGAAGTAGACGGCGCTGGAGAAGAGGATGACCCCGATGAAGAGGAAGAAGATCAGGAGCCCCAGCTCCCTCATGCTGGCCTTCAGGGTCTGCCCCAGGATCTGCAGGCCCTTGGAGTGTCTGGACAGCTTGAAGATCCTGAAGACTCGCACCAGGCGGATGACCCTGAGGATGGCCAGAGACATGGCTTGCTGACCGTTGCCCTGCCTCTCGGCCAGCTCGGTGCCCAGGGTGATGAAGTAAGGGATGATGGCCACGATGTCGATGATGTTCATGATGTTCTTGGCGAAGCTGGCTTTGCTGGGGCAGGTGAAGAAGCGCACCAGGAGCTCGAAGGAGAACCAGATGATGCAGAGGGTCTCGACCACGAAGAAAGGGTCGGCGAAGATGCCGCCCCACGCCGGGTCGGGGGGGTCGCCGGTGGCGTTGGCGTTGGCGTCGGCCCGGACCTGGGGCGCCGAGACCGGGCTGCCGGGGCCGGGCCGGTAGTCCTTGTCGTCGCGGAACTCGGGCAGGGTCTCCAGGCAGAAGATGACGATGGAGATGAGGATGACCATGACGGACACGATCGCGATGGCCCGGGCTGGACCCGAGCTCTCGGGGTACTCGAAGAGCAGCCACACCTGGCGCTGGAACTCGTGGGCCGGCAAAGGGCGCTCCTTCTCCTGGATGAAGCCCTCGTCCTCCCTGAACATCTCCATGGCCTCCTCGCCCAGCTGGTAGAAGCGGATCTCCTCGGAGAAGATGTCGATGGGCACGTTGACGGGTCTGCGGATCCTGCCCCCGGACTGGTAGTAGTAGAGGATGGCGTCGAAGCTCGGGCGGTTCCTGTCGAAGAAGTACTCGTTCCTCAGGGGGTCGAAGTAGCGCATCCGCTTCTTGGGGTCTCCGAGCAGTGTGTCCGGGAAGAGCGACAGCGTCTTGAGCCGCGTCTCGAAGCGCAGCCCCGAGATGTTGACCACCACCCGCTCGCAGCACTCGGGCTCGGGCTCCGGCGGCTCGGGCTCCGGGCAGCCGACCAGCGACCCCGCCGGCTCCGTGCCGTCCCCCGCCACCAGCTGCATCGGGGCGGCGGCGGCGGCGGCGGCTCCTCACAGCACCCGCGCTCTCTCTCTCTCCCTCTCCCCCCACTCTCTCCCTCTCTCTCCCTCGGCTCCCGGTGTCGGTGTCGGTCACGGGCTCGGGCTCGGGCTCGGGCCGCCCACCGCGCGCCCGGGAGGCGGCAGCTCCCGCAGCCCGTGACAGCGGCAGCGGCTACCGCTCCCGTCCATGTGCCCGGGGGGGGGGCGGGGCCGGAGTAAGGGGAGGGGCTACGGTCATGTGGGGGAGGGGGGAGGGGCCAGAGGAAGGGCGGGGCCGGGTAAGGGGAGGGGCTACGGTCAGTGTGGAGGGTGTGGGAAGGGGGCGGGGCTAGAGGAAGGGAGGGGCCGGAGTAAGGGGAGGAGCTACGGTCAGTGAGGAGGGTGTGGGGAGGGGGCGGGGCTAGAGGAAGGGAGGGGCCGGAGTAAGGGGAGGAGCTAACGTGAGGGGAGAGGGCAGAGGGAGGGAGGGGCCAGAGTGAGAGGAGGAGCTAACATGAGGTGGAGAGGGCAGAGGGAGGGAGGGGCCAGAGTGAGAGGAGGCGCTAACATGAGGTGGAGAGGGCAGAGGGAGGGAGGGGCCAGAGTGAGAGGAGGAGCTAACATGAGGGGAGAGGGCAGAGGGAGGGAGGGGCCAGAGTGAGAGGAGGAGCTAACATGAGGGAGAGGGCAGAGGGAGGGAGGGGCCAGAGTGAGAGGAGGAGCTAACATGAGGTGGAGAGGACAGAGGGAGGGAGGGGCCAGAGTGAGAGGAGGCGCTAACATGAGGTGGAGAGGGCAGAGGGAGGGAGGGGCCAGAGTGAGAGGAGGAGCTAACATGAGGTGGAGAGGACAGAGGGAGGGAGGGGCCAGAGTGAGAGGAGGAGCTAACATGAGTTGGAGAGGGCAGAGGGAGGGAGGGGCCAGAGTGAGAGGAGGAGCTAACATGAGGTGGAGAGGGCAGAGGGAGGGAGGGGCCAGAGTGAGAGGAGGAGCTAACATGAAGGGAGAGGGCAGAGGGAGGGAGGGGCCAGAGTGAGAGGAGGAGCTAACATGAGGGAGAGGAGAGAGGGAGGGAGGGCCAGAGTGAGAGGAGGAGCTAACATGAGGTGGAGAGGGCAGAGGGAGGGAGGGGCCAGAGTGAGAGGAGGAGCTAACATGAGGTGGAGAGGGCAGAGGGAGGGAGGGGCCAGAGTGAGAGGAGGGGCTAACATGAGGGGAGAGGCAGAGGGAGGGAGGGGCCAGAGTGAGAGGAGGAGCTAACATGAGGTGGAGAGGGCAGAGTGAGGGAGGGGCCAGAGTGAGAGGAGGAGCTAACATGAAGGGAGGGAGGGGCCAGAGTGAGAGGAGGAGCTAACATGAGGTGGAGAGGGCAGAGGGAGGGAGGGGCCAGAGTGAGAGGAGGAGCTAACATGAGTTGGAGAGGCAGAGGAGGGAGGGGCCAGAGTGAGAGGAGGAGCTAACATGAGGTGGAGAGGGCAGAGGGGGGGAGGGGCCAGAGTGAGAGGAGGAGCTAACATGAAGGGAGAGGGCAGAGGGAGGGAGGGGCCAGAGTGAGAGGAGGAGCTAACATGAGGGGAGAGGGCAGAGGGAGGGAGGTGCCAGAGTGAGAGGAGAGCTAACATGAGGGGAGAGGGCAGAGGGAGGGAGGGGCCAGAGTGAGAGGAGGAGCTAACATGAGGGGAGAGGGCAGAGGGAGGGAGGGGCCAGAGGGAGGGAGGGGCCAGAGTGAGAGGAGGAGCTAACATGAGTGGAGAGGGCAGAGGGAGGGAGGGGCCAGAGTGAGAGGAGGAGCTAACATGAGGTGGAGAGGGCAGAGGGAGGGAGGGGCCAGAGTGAGAGGAGGAGCTAACATGAGGGGAGAGGACAGAGGGAGGGAGGGGCCAGAGTGAGAGGAGGAGCTAACATGAGGTGGAGAGGGCAGAGGGAGGAGGGGCCAGAGTGAGAGGAGGAGCTAACATGAGGTGGAGAGGGCAGAGGGAGGGAGGGCCAGAGTGAGAGGAGGGGCTAACATGAGGGGAGAGGGCAGAGGGAGGGAGGGGCCAGAGTGAGAGGAGGAGCTAACATGAGGTGGAGAGGGCAGAGTGAGGGAGGGGCCAGAGTGAGAGGAGGAGCTAACATGAGAGGAGAGGGCAGAGTGAGAGGAGGAGCTAACATGAGGGGAGAGGGCAGAGGGAGGGAGGGGCCAGAGTGAGAGGAGGAGCTAACATGAGTTGGAGAGGGCAGAGGGAGGGAGGGGCCAGAGTGAGAGGAGGAGCTAACATGAGGTGGAGAGGGCAGAGGGAGGGAGGGGCCAGAGTGAGAGGAGGAGTGAGAGGGCAGAGGGGGGGAGGGGCCAGAGTGAGGGGAGGAGAGGGGGCAGAGGGAGGGAGGGGCCAGAGTGAGAGGAGGAGCTAACATGAAGGGAGGGCAGAGGGAGGGAGGGGCCAGAGTGAGAGGAGGAGCTAACATGAGGGGAGAGGGCAGAGGGAGGGAGGGGCCAGAGTGAGAGGAGGAGCTAACATGAGTTGGAGAGGGCAGAGGGAGGGAGGGGCCAGAGTGAGAGGAGGAGCTAACATGAAGGGAGAGGGCAGAGGGAGGGAGGGGCCAGAGTGAGAGGAGGAGCTAACATGAAGGGAGAGGGCAGAGGGAGGGAGGGGCCAGAGTGAGAGGAGGAGCTAACATGAAGGGAGGGAGGGGCCAGAGTGAGAGGAGGAGCTAACATGAGGGGAGAGGGCAGAGGAGGGAGGGGCCAGAGTGAGAGGAGGAGCTAACGAGGGGAGAGGGCAGAGTGAGGAGAGAATCAAAAGTGATATAATTGCAATGTGTTGTTGTTTGCGTTGTTTCTCAATCTGCTTTATCCGCACTATATGCCAACCCCCACTGAAGGGAAGCCATGCGCAGGTGTGGGTGTAATGTCTGGAGCGTAGTGACTTATTTCTGCACATCAGTCACAGTGCACTCCGAGACACCGGTTAATAACAGGGTTTTGCCGCCTGTCTGGAACCACCGGCTCCCCAACCAGATCAGCTCAAAGAAACCCCTCTCAATGCAGTTCACGTGCGAGAAATAACGTAAATGAAGTCAACGTTCTTATGGTGGGAAACGCGGCAAGAAATCGAAAGCCCGGATTGTTATAATTCATGGCAATAATAAAGGACAGCAGCAATCTGTGCGAATGCCCCGCCGTGAGGACAATGACATCGGTTGTACAGGTGTTTGTTGCTGGACTGGGAGACCGCTTGACCCCATTTGCTATCTCTGTGTTTCCAGCTCCATTTCCCTTCGGGCTCTGTGTTGCTGCCGCTGCCTCCGCTGCCAATTCACATGGAAGTAATTAAACAGAATGGATTGAAACATTCACATTGTGTCACCGTGACAATTTCTCAAACGTTTAAATGTTTGCGGTCGGTCACAAAAAAACCTTCGCTCGTCGTGGCCAAGCTTGGTCCCATGTGGCCACAGTCAATTTATGTATCAGAAGCTGCAGAGTTCAATTCAAACCCAAATCATTTGAGGCCCAAATTTACATGGACATGTGTGAAAAAAAGTAATAATCCTTGCATTTGATATAGCACCTTCTCACGACTTCAAGACGTCGCAAAGCGCTTCACAGAATACACTGTAAAGTGAATTGACTGTATATTTTGTGAGAGTTGCAAAAATTTTTGTAGTCTTGAATGGTAATAGCCCACATGTGTCGCGTGATGGAAGACACAAAGCAAATACGCTATGCATTAGTTGCATGTGGTTGGCTGCTTCTGAATAAAAATGTACTTGTTGATACTGTGCACCTCACTCCCAGCCACATCATTTCTCACCAACAAACATCTGGGAGTTCATTTTATCTGGGTTTTACACGCTTTCCGCGCGACTGTTGCATGTTATAATTGGGTATTTTCTTTGCGTCGATCAATTGCGCCCGATTTGTAGAATGCAGACTTCCCCAAAGCTCAACACCAACTCCTTAACACTGTTGCAGCCTTACAGATGTGTTCAAATCATCTGACTCCTGGGGTACGGAATGGAAAAGAGTCATGAAAGAGACGCCAGCCACTGAGCATTGATGTGCAGGACTAGTCTTTGATGCATTTTTACAGAATTTTAGAACAAAATGTGAAATATGAAGCTATTCAGCTATTCAGAGGTCTGATGGTACAGACACATCGATATTGATGTTCTCATTTTGTTTGTCCTTTTGTTCCACCATCAGCTGACGGACAATACATATGAAATAACTGCACCACTGTTCCATATCACGGTTGCCACCACCATAATAAGCAGTGAATCACAGATGACAATGAGGAAAGCTGGGCCTCCTTATTTATTACTAATAGCAGAGGTGACTTCTCTTGTAAATAGCGTAGCACTCAACCCGTGCCATCTCTGCTGGATTAGTGTTGCACTTTGCACCAATATACCCAGGCTACACAATGGCTGAATAATATTAACAGCTGGTCTCCACTGAAAGCAAACGACATTCTCAGTGCAACAAGTAATGGGCTGGAAATGTTGGGAGCACAGCTGTTGTGTCTGAGCAAAGGTTGTTCACTTAGAGACACTGCATTTCCCCGTCTGCGCTGGTGGGTAGCGAGTTTGTAACAGGACAGATGCTCAGTTTGAGATCGGCTGGGGACCTGCGACAGGATGAGTTTCAAGTTGTTTTACATGTGATGGACACATGGTTGGAGTATACATTCACTATGATGGTGGTCATTAGAATAATCACCATTTACCACCACTATCGAATGCTAATTGAAACAATAATAATAATAATCCTTGCATTTGATACAGAGTCTTATCACATCGTTGAGATATCTCAAAGCACTTCACAGGATATACTGTAAAGTGAACTGACTGTCTATTTTGTGGGAGAAACGCGGCAGCCAATTGCGCACAGCAGCGTCCCACAAACAATCGGAGTGACCAATTTTTTTTTAAAGGGTTATTACCCCTGGAAAAGCAATCCGTCCATCGATTTAACATTGGGTTCCTATTTACAGCTAGGTAAACCGAGGTGTATGAAGAAAGGAAAGCTGCCTAAAGTTTTGCCCTGCCCGGGAATCAAACCCGGGTCCTCTCCCTCGCGAGCGCTCAATCCATGAAGCCATAGAATCTCTCCAACATTTTCCGAAAGCAAAGTATTATTTAGTGACCCAGGTTAAAAAAAAATACAGTTGAACCAGAAATATTTATTTCACAAACACAAATGAAATGATGTAGGTGCAAACATATAACACATGAACGATCAATATTTATTTACCAATCTAGTTCCATGCCCCTCAGTGGTTTTCTGTTGCTCCTAATTTCTCTTGGTGTCTTTCAGTCTACTGCTTCCCGTCAGTCTCTCCTAATATCTCCCAGGGTCTCTCAGTACCTCTCAAGAGCACAGCATCACGGAGTTCATAGCTAGGAAATATGCAGATGGAACACGAGACATTGCACAGAAACTTTCATCTCGCATTCCCCAGCAGGCTGATTTTCTATTTCCAGCTTCAAACGGTAACACAGATACATACTTTCCAAAAGAAATTAATTAGAAAAAAAAGTTCTATTAAAGTCGTTCCAGTTTTGATGGCCACCTTGGCGATTAGTGGCTGCAGCATTGTTCTGTTCTCCCACCCAGTCCCCTTGATATTATTGACTGTGTGATACTTATGTCAATCCATCAGTGCATCTGCTTTTTGGCAATGTTATGCAAATGCAAACGTGCAGCAGATAAGCACACTTACAACTGTTCACCGGCTGGTAATCCAAACCACCTTCTGAGTACGAGCTTCACTATGCCACAGATATCTCCATTTACCACTTGGTGCAGCTATGTGTGATGTCCCCAGGGTGCAGGCCTTACATCCTTCACACTCCCTGAATACATTACATCCTTCACAGTCCATGAATGCATTGTGGAGCCTTGTAGCGTAGTGGCTAGCGAGCTCGCCTCGCAAGCAATAGTACCCAGGTTTGATTTCTGGGCAGGGCAGAACCTTAGGCAAGCTTCCTTACTTCACACAGATCTGTTTACCTAGCAGTAAGTAGGAACCCGATTGACAGTCGATTGGCAGATTGCTTTCTGGGGTAATAATCCCCCCCCACACACAAAATAACTTAGTCACTCATTTCCACGATTGTTTGTAGGACACTGCTGTGCGCAATCAGCTGTTGTGTTTCGCCCACGAAATATAAAGTCAATCCACTTTACAGTATATTCTGTGAAAAGCTTCGAGACGTCTCAATGAAGTGATAAAGCGCTATATCAAATGCAAGGATTATTATTATAAATTCTGGATTGTTTGACGATTGGCTCAGAGGGTCAGGGAGCAGCTCATGTCCCCAGGGTTCAAGCATTACATCCATCACATTAACCGAATATATGAAGAACCTGAGTTACTAAGAGAGGTTACAGAAACTAGCAATGTTCACACAAGAAAACGAAGCTCAAACAGATTCTACTGAAGCTCCTGCAATCTTTAAAACCCTAAACCTCAACAATGTGATAAGGCACTATATCAATTGAAGAATTATTATTATTAGATAAACTGAACCTCAATAGTATGTTTAACGTGGTCAACAAATTTAGAATGAGGGGCATGCACTCAACTCAGAAGTCAGAAGGTGAAGACAATTCATAATTAATTACAAAGAGCCCAGAAAGCCTATAGAGACAGATTGCGTCAGCAAATTCAAAAAGGAATTAAATTAGACAGAAACTGATTGACTTGTGAGACATAGTGTATTTTTGTTTCTTGAACCAAATGCAATACAAAATAAAAAATTACATTTGCATAGCGCCTTTCACGTCGGGAGGACATCCCAAGGGGCTGGACAGTCGGGGGTTTGGAGCTGAGCTGGGGGGGGTTAGGATCAGGGAGAGTGGAGGACATGGAGGGTGGCCGAAAGCACGGCTGAAGAGGAGGGTCTTGAGACGTGTCCTGAAGTTATCAGTACATTGCAATGTACAGTAAGGCGCACAGCAGTTAGGGTTTATTTGCGATCGCAAATATCGCCTGGAAGGTGTGTCCCTTGTGCTGTCGGTCCTCCATCCGCACGTCATTGAATCCAGCTGCACGTAGAGCCTCCATGTACTGCTCTGGCTTCCAGTTTGTATTCGGCAAAAATCCTGAAGCTGCAAAGCTCTCCAAATACTTCAGGTAAAAAGTAGTAACCATCAGAGCTCCTGCATAAAGTTCAATGCTCAGAATCAAGACATAGGAACATAGGAACATGATTAGGTAATTCAACTCCTCGAGCCTGTTCCACCATTCTGTTAGATCATGGCTGATCTGTAACTAACTCCAATTACCCACCTTTGCCCCATATCCCTTGATACCCTGAACTAACAAAAATCTATCCACCTCAATCATGAAAATATGAATAGATCCAGCAACCACAACCTTTTGGGGGTGAGAGTTCCAGATTTGCACGACCCTTTGCGTCTAAAGAATTAACGGGAGACATTTAAGTAGAGTCTCAATGTCTTTTTAAAGGTATTAAAACTTCACCAACTGTCTGCTCCCTCCGCTCGGCGAGCACTGGCCCGCTCCACATCCCCCACCCTGCCCACTCCACGATCAGACGTTGAGCCTTCAACCTTTCTGCCCTCACCCTCTGGAACCCCATTCCAGAAACCCTTCCTCTTTCACAACAACTACAACAACTTGTATTCATGTTAGAATATACAAAAAATATACACTCTTTGTATACTGCTAGAATCATAATAGATGTTGTGAATGGGTTAACTTTCAAGTTAAGTGTGGGGGACAACTGGGATAGGATACATCTGGTTTTCTCTGTTTTTGAAAGAATAACGGACAGGGGAGGGGGTCACCTCTTATCAGTAAATGACAACAAGCCACAGAGGTAACCGTTCAAGGTACCAGTCGACACAGGATCTCGACTGAGCAATAAGTCACTAGATTCTGACAGGGCCAACCGACAGAGGGCAACCCTCAAGAATAGCAATTAATGAGCAAGTTGCTTAAACTAGAGGACCTCGGTACCATCCCGGGATACTGATAAAAAATAACCAGTCACTTAAAAGGAATGTATTAATGATCCCACACCACAAAATAATGAGCACCAGATAGTCCTAAACTGATCAATCCTCTATCTTAGACAATTAGATCAGATAACAGAGGTCTTAAGGACAATGTGTATGTGTGTGAGGCACTACACCCCATGAGGTGTTCACGTGAACCCAGCATGATTTTGACCGGGTGATCTAATGTCCACACCATGATTGGATGAACATTGGTATAAGAGTTCTGTTAACTTTGTGTACGGGGCACTCCCGGGTCGTGGAGACAAGGGTATGGGAGATGGGGCCGTCTCAGGTCGTGGAGACAAGGATAAGAGAGATGGAGCCGTCCCGGGTCGTGGAGACAAGGATAAGAGAGATGGAGCCGTCCCGGGTCGCGGAGACAAGGATAAGAGAGATGGAGCCGTCTCGGGTCGTGGAGACAAGGGTACGGGAGATGGAAGACTGAGAGCTGGAAACACTAAGACTGAGGATATCAGATGGAAGATTGAAAGCTGTAAGCAAGAAGACTGAAAGCATGAAGAATCAAACTTGTGTGCTGGAAAGACACAGTGTTGAACTCTTGAACTTGAGATATCTATAGTGGTGTTATTCTGTTATAAGATCTGTTGATTGTACCGGCCTTTGGTCTGACCCATCGGGATATTGGGGAATAATGAACGAATAATAATAAAACAGTCTGATATCTGGTTAGAGGAATTAGCGTTATTTCCTTACAGATTTGGCTGAATTTATTTTCTAACAGATTTGGCGTAGTCGGCAGGATACTCAGTATTAATACACTCGGCAATTGCGGGAATTAGGAGTCCGGTACGATCGTGACTAGTAGATAGTTGGGACGATGGCTGCGCCTAAGTGGGCTATGAAATATGAGGGGGAACTTGTTAAGTAACCTTATATGTGTGTAGCAGGCAATTAACCGAGTGTATTAACCCATTGGGATTTTGAGTATTAGAAAGAACAAATATAATTCATTTGAGCCTGTGTCTCTTATTTGGATTCCCAACAATTTGGTAGGATTCCCCAGTAAACAGACAAGGGAGGTACAATCAAGCCTAGACGAACGTTTAATGATGTTGCATGTTTGAATACATCAACGTCTGATTGTTTTTAAAGCTGAATATTTGACTATATTAGCTGGGAAGTTTGTGATTGTCTCCTTGAATACTTCAAGTAGAGACAGTAGTTTTGAGTGTTTGTGATTGTCTCCTTGAATGTTTGAATACTTCAAGTAGAGACAGTAGTTTGGAGTAAGCTGTGGGTGACACAGCAATGTGTAGGTGGGGCCAAGGTTGAGTAAGCTGTGGATGCCACACTAAGATGTAGTCGGGACCAAGCTTCGGTAACGGTCAGGCGTTTGAGTACGCTGGCGATCGCACCAGGCATTTAAGTGCACTGATGTGCGTGTGAACGACATTCGAATATGTTGATATATTGTGTGTTGATGTGAAAATTGCGTAAGTGATGGAGTAACTTTCGGGCGTTCGAACAGTCAGTGGGAAATCCGCTATTGCCTACCGGGTACGGAGAGGGACCGGGACTGACAGTAATTGAATGTTGTTGTATTTCACTATACCACTATACCACTATAGATATCTCAAGTTCAAGAGTTCAACACTGTGTCTTTCCAGCACACAAGTTTGATTCTTCATGTTTTCAGTCTTCTTGCTTACAGCTTTCAATCTTCCATCTGATATCCTCAGTCTTAGTGTTTCCAGCTCTCAGTCTTCCATCTCCCGTACCCTTGTCTCCACGACCCGAGACGGCCCCATCTCCCGTATCCTTGTCTCCACGACCCGAGACGGCCCCATCTCCCGTACCCTTGTCTCCGCCACCCGGGATGGCTCCATCTCCCGTACCCTTGTCTCCACGACCCGGGAGGGCCCCGTACACAAACTTAACGGAACTCTTATACCAATGTTCATCCAATCATGGTGTGGACATTAGATCACCCGGTCGAAATCATGCTGGGTTCACGTGAACACCTCATGGGGTGTAGTGCCTCAACACACATACACATTGTCCTTAAGTCCCCTGTTATCTGATCTAATTGTCTAAGATAGAGGATTGATCAGTTTAGGGCTGTATCTGGTGCTCATTATTTTGTGGTGTGGGATCATTAGTACATTCCTTTTAAGTGACTGGTTATTCCTTATCAGTATCCCGGGATGGTACCGAGGTCCTCTAGTTTAAGCAACTTGCTCATTAATTGCTATTCTTGAGGGTTGCCTTCTGTCGGTTGGCCCTGTCAGAATCTAGTGACTTATTGCTCAGTCGAGATCCTGTGTCGACTGGTACCTTGGACCGTTACCTCTGTGGCTTGTTGTCATTTACTGATAAGAGGCGACCCCCTCCCCTGTCCGTTATTCTTTCAAAAACAGAGAAAACCAGATGTATCCTATCCCATGACTGTCAGTCCAGTTGTCCCCCACACTTAACTTAAAAGTTAACCCATTCACAACATCTATTATGATTCTAGCAGTGTACAAAAAGTGTATATTCTAACATGAATACAAGTTGTTGTAGTTGTTGTGAAAGGTGAAATTTCTTGTGGTTGTTGCTGGGTTATTATATTATGTACAATATTTATATATGGGGCCCTTCACAAGTTGTGCTCATTGTGCTGTAATCTTTTTATACTGTACCCAAAGTGGGGGGGGGGGGGATGAAGAAGGAGCCTGGGCTCCATCATCATCATCATCATCATCATCTACCTACCTGGCTTCATGACCCGGTGTATCTCTCGGCTGCCGGCGCTCAGGTCGGGCCAGAAGTAGTAACAGTTGCAGTGGTAGACAGTGTCCAGCTGACTATCCTCCAGGGGGATGCGGTCCACGCTGCCCAGGAACAGGCGCACCTTCCCGGCCAGGATCTCGGTCCGCAGCCTCCTGCTGGCTACGCTGTGCATGTACTCGGAGTAATCCAGACCGTACAGCTTCCCCCCGGGACCCGGCAGCCGGTCGGCCGCTGCCCTCAGCCCCAGCCCCGGCCCGAAGCCCAGCTCCAGGACCTGGCTCTGGGGCTGGATCCGACACAGCCCGACCGCCGCCTCCTCCAGCCAAGCGTTGTTCCTCTCGAAGAACTGCTTGGCCAGCCAACCCCACAAGCCCTTGGTGGGCTTCCGCAGCTGCCGACCCAGACGCTCAGCAAACATGGTGCTGGTGTTAGTGTTAGCGTTAGTGTCGGTGTTGACAGTCTCACACGTCTTTTTCAGGAAGTAGACGGGTGAGACTCACTCACTCACTCACTCACACACTCACTCCACTCCACCCTCTCCACTCACTCACCCACTCCACTCACTCACTCACCCACTCCACTCACTCACTCCACCCACTCCACTCACACACTCACTCACTCACTCACCCACTCACTCACTCACTCACTCACCCACTCCACTCACTCACTCCACCCACTCACTCACTCACTCACCCACTCCACTCACTCACATACTTACCTACTCCACTCCACCCACTCCACTCTACCCACTCCACTCCATCCACTCTACCCACTCCACTCACTCACTCCATTCCACCCATTCATTCCAGTCCACTCACTCCACTCTACCCAATCCACTCCACTCACTCACTCTCCTCACTCACTCCACTCCACCTCTCCACTCACTCATGAACTCCACTCACTCACTCCCACTCACGCACTCACTCACTCACACACTCACCCACTCCACTCCACCCACTCCACTCATTCCACTCCACTGCATCCACTCCCACTCACTCCACTCTACCCACTCCACTCACTCCACTAACTCACTCCACTCCACCCATTCACTCCACTCCACTCTACCCACTCCACTCACTCACTCCACTCATTCACTCACTCACTCCACTCCACCTCTCCACTCACTCATGCACTCCACTCACTCACTCAAGCACTCCACTCACTCACTCCACTCACTCACTCCACTCGCTCACTCACTCCACTCACTCACTCACTCATTCACTCCACTCACTCAGCCTGACCCCCACTCCGGCCCCCAGTTGGGCTGAGACCGCCCCTGTGTACCCCCCCTGTATCCATGGTTTACATCAGTTCTTGAGAAAGGACTGGACTGCTGTTTGGTTCCACGCCCAAAACACACACGTTCTCAAGCAGACGATCCAATTGTTACATTACAATCTCCTGTCCACCTGTGTGTGTGTGTGTGTGTGAAATAAGGAGAAAGGATGATAACCTGTACTTTTTGTGTGTGTGTGGGGGGGGGGGGGGGGGATGGGGGAGAGGGGTTGCGGGTTCAGCCGGGTGTCCGACACATGCGAAAGGTCGCGGCGGCGGGGAGTTCAGCCACACGGGGAGCGGCGGCAGGGAGTGCAGCCACACGGGGGGGTGTGGGGGGTGGGGAAGGGGTGGGGGCGGAGCGGGGAAACCGCCAACGTCATAGTTTAGTTTTCAGGAGTGTGTGCGCAACAAAAAAAAACCTCTGCGCCCCACCCCCACCCCCCCCAGGGCTCACATCAGGGCCCACATGGTTCTGTTGGGTTGGCTGCCCCAGCCCCAGCCTATGGGATAATGCCATCCACCTGACCGCTCGCTCCCGGTCCCCGCGTGCGCACTATGGCTGCCGCTTTGACCCGAGCCCCCTCACCCCCTCCCTCCCTCCTCCCTCCTCTCTGCCCCCAAACCCTTCACCCTCAACATCTCTCACGCTCTGTCCTCCTCTCTCTCCGTCCCTTTCGGCTTCCATCCCCAATTGACCCTTCCGCAACCTCCTTCTGTTCCAGCCTGGGAATCCTCCGCCGGCCGGGCTCACCGTGGCGTTGGCTGTCCAGCAGCAGCCACACCGACTGCCCCATTCCCCAATACACTCGCCAGCCACCCCGGACACAGACCCGGGGAGCCAACCTCTCCTCCCTTATCCCCATTTCCCCCCAACCCTGCTTCACAACCTGGACCCCCCTCCCCTCCCACACACCCTTCTGTCATCCTTGATGAGAACGTTGACATCATGGCCTTAACGGAAACGTGGCTCACCTCAGGTGACACCTTCCCCCTCACGGAGGCCACACCACCCGGCTACACCTCCCACCACATCCCTCACCCCAACCGCCGTGGCGGTGGTGTAATAATAATAATAATAATAATAATCCTTGCATTTGATATATGGATATATATATCCATATATATATATACATATATATATATATATGTAGCCCTGATCTCAAGGACACCACTTGCCCTATCCCCCTACTCCTCTGGCTCTTTCCCCTCTTTCGAGCACCTCACCCTCTCTCACCCCTCCTTCCTCTCGCTCAAAATCCTCCTCCTCTACCGTCCCCCTAAAACCTCTCCCACCTTCATCTTCGATATTTCGACACTTCTTACATCTCTCTGCCTTTGCTCTGATCGCCTCATCATCCTGGGCGACTTCAACCTGCACTTCACCCCCTCCTGCTCCATCTCCTCAGACTTCTCTTCCCTGCTCTCCTCTCTCAACCTCTCCCTCCACATCAACTCCCCCACTCACAGTCACGGCCACCCACTCAACTTGGTGATCACCCGGGGCCTCAGTGTCTCGAATGTCACTATCACCGACAAGGCCATCTCTGACCACTACGTCATCTCCTTCACCACCTCCACCCCCCTCCCCACCTCCACCAGACCCACCACCATCTTCTACCGCCCCTGGAAGAAGTTACCCCCACAATCCCTAACCGCTGCCTTGGAGTCCTCTGAACTCCTCTCCCTCTGGCCTTCAACCCTCACTGACCCCTCTTCTCGTCTCACCCTCCTCTACAACACCCTCTCCTCCACACTCAATACTCTTGCCCCCATCACCTCAACAACAACAACAACAACAAGATTCCATTTATAGAGCGCCTTTCACGTCAGGAGGACGTCCCAAGGCGCTGCACAGTTGGGTCATGACCCGAGCAGGGGGGAAATGGTCAGGGTGAGGGGAGGGAAGGGAGGGAGAGAGGAGGGGGAAATGGTCAGGGTGAGGGGAGGGAAGGGAGGGAGCGAGGAGGAGGAAGAGAGTCGAGAGGGGAGCTGAAGGCACGGTCAAAGAGAAAGGTTTTGAGACCGGCCTTGAAGGAGGAAAGGGAGGAAGCAAGGCGAAGGCACTGGGGGATGGAGTTCCAGAGCCTGGGGGCTGAGAGGCTGAAGGCCCGACCACCAATAGTAGGGCGGTTGGGGCGGGGGACGTGGAGCAGACCGGAGCCAGAGGAACGGAGGGTACGGGCAGGTAGGTAGGGGGATAGTAGGTTGGAGAGGTAGGAGGGAGCAAGGCCGTGAATGGCCTTGTAGGTGAGTACCTCCCGTACTGTCTCCTACTCCTGCTCCTCCCCCTGGTTCACCACCCACCTCCGCTCACTGAAGAGCCAGGTGTGGCGCCGCTGAACATACCTGCGTCAAATCTGGCCTAACGGTCCACCGACAAATCTGGCTGGACCTCCTCAAAGTCTACCACTCCACTCTAGCCTCGGCCAAGTCATCCTTCTACTCCAGGATAATCCTGGAGGCGAAGAACAACCCCAGGCTACTGTTTTCTACCACATCCCGACTCCTCCGTCCCCCCCGCCACCCGCGCAGGTCATCTCCTCCAACCTTCACTGTGAGGAGATGCTGGATTTATTTGAATCCAAAATCAAGGGATTTCGCTCCGCGGTCACTTCCCCTCTAACATCCAACCACCTCCCACCCTCTCCCTCCCACACTCCGACTCCTACCCATCCTCCTCTACACACTTTCGTACCCGTTTCCCCACCCTCCTTATCTCTCAGCTCCACCTCCTTGCCCCACATATCACAGACATCGTCAACCTGTCCCTCTCCTCTGGCTCTGTCCCCATTCCCTTAAAAACTGCCACCATCACTCCCACCTTGAAAAAACCCTCCCTTGATGCGTCGCAGCTATCAAGCTACCGGCCCATCTCCAACCTCCCCTTCCTGTCCAACGTCCTGGAACAAGTTGTCGCCTCCCAACTGCGCTCTTTCCTCTCCACCCATTCATTACTCGAACCCCTTCAGTCGGGTTTCCGTGCTGCCCATAGCACAGAAACTGCCCTGGTCAAGGTCACCAATGACATCCTGACCATCTGTGACCAGGGCTCCCTCTGCCTCCTCGTCCTCCTCGACCTATCGGCAGCATTCGATACGGTCGACCACGCTATCCTCCTCCACCGCTTGTCCTCCCACCTCAACCTTCAAGGCCCTGTCCTTGAGTGGTTCAGATCGTACCTCTCCCACCGTCTTCACTTTGTTTCCACTAATGGTTTTTCCTCCACCCCCCGCACTGTCTCGTGCGGTGTCCCTCAGGGCTCTGTCCTCGGTCCCCTCCTCTTCACCCTCTATATACTTCCCCTCGGTGACATCATCCGCAGACATGGGGTTAACTTCCACATGTATGCGGATGACACCCAACTCTACCTTTCCTCCTCTACCCTCAACTCCACGACCACCGATGTCCTGACAGCTGCCTGTCCGACATCGAGTCCTGGACGAGAGACAACTTTCTTCAGCTCAACGTGCGTAAAACCGAGGCCCTCCTGATTGGCTCACGTCAGCGCCTCCGCACCTCAGGCGCTGACAGCATCAGCATCCAAGGCTGCACTCTCCACCTCTCAAAGCCAGTCAGGAACCTCGGCGTTTTGTTCGACCCTGAGCTGTCCTTTCTCCCTCATATCCGCACCACAACTGGCACCGCCTTCCATCACCTCCAGAACATCGCCAGACTACGGCACTACCTCACCCCTCACGCTGCTGAAACCCTGGTCCACGCCTTTATCACCTCAAGGCTGGACTATGGGAACTCTCTCCTCGCCGGCCTTCCCGCCACCTCCCTCCACACTGCAGGTCATTCAGAACTCTGCAGCTCGTGTACTGTCCCGCACCAGACACCGCGACCACATCACACCCACCCTCGCTCGCCCCCACTGGCTCCCCATCCCCCAGAGGATTGAATTCAAGATCCTCATCCTCATCTACAAGGCCATTCACGGCCTCGCTCCCTCCTACCTCTCCGACCTACTATCCCCCTACCTACCTGCCCGTACCCTCCGTTCCTCTGGCTCCGGTCTGCTCCACATCCCCCGCCCCAACCGCCCTACCATCGGTGGCCGGGCCTTCAGCCTCTTAGCTCCTAGGCTCTGGAACTCTATCCCCCAGTGCCTCCTCTCTTTCCTCCTTCAAGGTCGGTCTCAAGACCTTTCTCTTTGACCGTGCCTTTAGCTCCCCTCTCGACTCTCTGCCCCCTCCTCGCTCCCTCCCTTCCCTCCCTCACCCTGACCATTTTCCCCCCAATGCTCGGGTCCTGACCCAACTGTCCAGCGCCTTGGGACGTCCTCCCGACGTGAAAGGTGCTCTATAAATGGAATCTTGTTGTTGTTGTTGTTGAAAACCCATCACTGTGTTTAACCGCATCTAAACCAAGCTGAGAACTCCATGCATCCCACTGACACGTGGAAATCCCAGAGATAGATTGTTGGAATGGAATGCGCTCTCTCCCTGGAGGGACGAGGCACCTCCTGCTTACCTAATACTCAACTGCCGGTCTGTCAGTCTGGCTCAGTTGGTAGCACTCTCTCTCTCTCTCTCTGCTCTTTGAATCAGTAGGTTGTGGGCTCAAGCCCCACGTCGGAACTTGGAAGCTACATGGTCACTCCTGACACTCCAATTACAGTGCTGGGAGTGTCCTGTATTGTCAGAGGTACCGTCCTGCGGATCAGACAAACGTATCCCGTCAGCCTGTTCAGGTGGACGTGAAAGATCCCATGACACTATTCGAGAAAAGAAGGGCTTTTCTCTCTCCCGGGGTCCTGGCCAACAAACCGTCAAATAAAACTGGTCATTTCCTTCATGGCTGTTTGTGGAACACCGCTGTGCTCAAATTGGCAGCAGCTTTACCTTACAGAATACAGTTACCACCATTTTACAGTAAGCTCCTTGAGAAGCCTCAAGGGCGTGATAAGGCTGCTATCTCAAATGCAAAAATGATTTTATCTCCTAGACACATATAATAGCCCATATCTCATCCACACCTATGTAACTCTTACGCACTTCAATGCAGAACCCACTCCTCATACACACTTAGTGCAACCTGCACTTCAATATGCACCAATAACTAATGATAATTTATGAACAAGAATATAAATAACTAACACCACTTTGTATAACAACAGCACATTCTGAATGTAAAGTGAGTTCATAAAGATATCATTGCGGTTACTTATAAATAAAACAGAACAATGCTCAGCCTACATCCACAAGTTTGCTGGATTGTTGCAAAATATTCCTACACCACTGAGTGAGGGGGGTCATAGCAGCAACAACTTGCATTTATATAGCCCCCTATAGGGTGTCAAGCACTCTGGGGTAGCGTCCCAGAGTGCTTGACACCCACGTATGGTGAGCGATGTGTGATCGATCCGATAGAGCATTAGAAACATGGATCATTAATGTCACGCACAATGACAGTGTGTGACATTAATGATCCATATTTCTAATGCTCTTATCATGGGAAGTAATAAAACTCAAATGTCGTATGTGTTACATACACAATAAAATCAGACGGGTGCCGCTGAACTCTGTGTGTGACACTCGTATTGCCGACGATTCCAGTTTGATCTCCTTTCCACCTGAAAAACAACCTCATCGATCATCACAAGGTTCATCCTATTGCCTTCCTGTGCAACAGATCCTATCACAGTGTAGTTCTTCACCCCCAGCAGAACGAAGATTAGATCAGGACAGCCAAGACTACCAGCCTTCCTGGCCCTCCCGCTTTCCAATAATCAGGTAATAATCCCTTCCCAAAGAAGTTTGGTCACTCAATCTGTGACTGTTTGTGGGACACTGCTGTGCGCAATTGGCCGACAAAATATACAGTCAATTCACTTTACAGTATATTCTGTGAAGCGCTTTGATACTTCTCAACGTCAATTATTATTATTGAATCATCATTTGTTGTGAGGAACTGAGGGTTCCAATCCAATCAATTTATATTTAATACCACCAAACACACCACACGCAATCTGGTTCTTTGTGCCAAGCATATAATTTCATCTACGCTGTCACAGTAAATGCATTTATGTGCATATTTTCTGGTTCCTACATCAATGGTTTCTTTGAAACCTACATTAAAGGGAAACCTCCAGCCTTCTCTGGTCGAAAGTGGTAGCTCTGTGAATGTTAGCAACAGAAAACTAGACAAAAGAAAAGTGGGAGGGCAGGTTGGCAAAGCCATAAATAAAGGTAACAGAATCCGAGGATTTATAAATAGGCGTGTTGAAATATGAAAGCAAATGAGTGAAACTAAGCCTGTATAAATCCTTAGTTAAGCCTCATTTGCATTGTGCAATTTCTGACACCCATATTTGAAAGGATGTCATGGCCAAAGGTAGACGAAAACTACCAAAGAGTCTTTGAAAGGGCTGGTGTGGGGGTGGAGGGGTTGGCAGAGGGATTTCGGGAAGGAATCCAAGAGGGAGACAGGCTTACCCCAAGGCTCCATCCTTGGCCCCTTCCTCTTCCTCATCTATATGCTCCCTCTCGGCGATGTCATCTACAGACATGGGGTAAACTTCCACATGTATACGGAGGACACCCAAATCTACTTCTCCAGTTGCATCTCCAGGTCTGCTGATGTTCTGTCAGCTTGTCTGGCAGACATCAGGGTCTGAATGAGCATAAACTTCCTGCAGCTGAACATTGTCAAGAAGCCATACTCCTTGGCTCCCATCAACATCTTCTCTCCTGCGGCTCTGACCTCCTCAACCTCCCCGGCCTATCCCTCAGAATCACTAAACACACAACTATCCTTCTTACCCCACATCCGGTCCCTGACCAGGACAGCTTTCCTCCACCACCACCACATTGCATGGCTCTGACCGTACCTTACCCCAAACTCAGCCAAAACACTTGTCCATGCTTTTGTACCTCCCACCTCGACTACTCAAATGTCTTCCTCACCCCTAGCTCCACCATCCACAAAATCCAGTTAATTCAAAACTCTACCGTCCGCATACTCACCCACACTAAACTCCGTACCCCCATCACACCAGTTCTTGCCAGGCCACACTGGCTCCCTATCACCGAACAGATTGATTTCAAGATCCTCACACTCATCTTCAATTCCCTTCATCCCCTGGCCACCTCCTTAACTCTCCAACCAGCTTACTGCACAACCCACTACCCGTTGCCTCTGCTCGACTGGCTCCGGACTCCTTCTTGTCCCTCATGCCTCCATTCCACCATCGGTGGCAGCGCTTTCAGCCACTATGCCCCGAAACTCTGGAATACTCTCCCTCAATCCCTTTACCTTGCCCCTTACTTCCCCATCTTTAGGTCGCGCCTGAGGACCTGCCTCTTCGACCATGCTTACAGTCACCTCCCCCAGGCTCAGCTTCGTGCCCAGCCACTATCAAGCGCTCTGAGACACTACTCTGTGTGAGGGGTGCTATATAAATGCAAATTGTTGTTGCTGTTGAACCCCCGAGGAAAATCAAACTCCCCAAAAAAGCATCAACAGAAAACTGACCTATGAATTCCTCAATAATACCTCAAAGTACAGTATTCAGGGCATTTTCAATTTTTTTTTCATTTGAAAGTTTATCAGAAAGTTATTTGCTAATTCTTTTTACTTCCAGCAATGTTTCCGCATCGTAAGAAGATTCAGCACGTCTTTCACCAAAATATCTTCAACCCCTTGGATTCGGTCGCATGATAGGGAAATGTTTTATTAATCTAAACCTTTCTTCTTTCTGATCTAATTTATAGTGCGTCTAAATATATGCCATAGCTTAAATGTATTAACACCGTGCCTGACAACAGAGGAGGGATAGCGAGATAGTATGCATCACCATACCATGAGAAGACACTAAAGACTTCTCTTGGGATCTAGAAATGTGTGGAGACTTTGCCTCTTTACGTGTTGTTGGTGTTTGGTGACACGTCTCCTCCATCCGATTGTAGATCCTCTCCTTATTCAGGTTTGTCAGGGGTCACGCACTGAATTTGCTTAATCCCCGCTGGCTGGTGTTTGACAATGTGTCCAGTGCTACAGGCCCACTCCAGACGCAATCATTTTGGCACTTGCCATTCAACACGGAGTAGCTGCTCCTATGTACAGTACTCATTTACTCTTGCTTCTGTCCTTTGTTCAGTATTTTTTCCACTCCTTTTTTTCTCTTAACAGCAGCAGGAGAGCAGATGTAGGAGGCCACTGCCGGTCAGGATGCAGACTCAGCAGCAACAGGAGCATCTGGTCTTTCTCCAGTGACCACTCCTAACCCGGCATTAAAGCACAGCTCAACAGTGAGCTGTAGAAGCAACCGGTCAGGTAATAATAACAATAGTCCTTGCATTTGATAGAGTGCCTTATCATGTTGTCGAGACGTCTCAAAGCACTTCATAGGTTATATACTGTAAAGTGGATTGACTGTGTATTTTGTGGTCAAAATGCGGCAGCTAATTATGTACAGCAGTGTCCCACAAACAGCCGTGGAGTGAGTGACCAATTTTATTTGGGGGATTTGTTGGCCAAGGCACCGGGAGATAGAAATTCCCTTCTCTTTTCCAATAGTGCCATGGGATCATTAATGTCCACTTGAACCTTGGTTTAATGTCTTATCCAAAGATGTTATCAGCTTTGAAACATTCTCCCAGCCGTGTATTCAGAAAGCTCAATGCAGCAGCAATGTAATCCTAGAACATATCAGTAAGATAATGATAATAATAATTATCATAATAAAGCATGGATTAAGAATAATCCTTGCATTTGATATAAGCCTTATCACATCGTTGTGTTGTCTCAAAGCGCTTCAGAGAATATACTGTAAAGTGAAATGCAAAATATTACAGTTACCAGCATCTGCAGTATTTTGCGTTTTATTTCTGTTTAATTCACTGCCACTTCTCTTCTAGGAATGCCTACCTTGAAGAAGTTTTGCTTTTCTCTTCGATGTGACTTTCAATGTTCCCTTTTACCCTACTGGAAAGTTAATTGACTGTTTATTTTGTGGGCGAAAATAGGAACTACACAAGCTTTAAAATGACTTGTTGTCATTTCCACTGGGGATCCTCCTCCACCACAAATAATCAGACTGTCCCTATACGCAGCAAAGAGAAGACAAACAGGTTTTACAAATAGGTGCACGGAATACAAACTTTGTAATGCTAAACCTATATAAATCATTAGCTAGGCTGCAGTTAGAGAACTGTTCCCATTGCCTCACTTTAGGAAGGATATCAAGGCCAGAGAGAGAGAACAGAGTAGATTCACTCAATTAATACGCAGTATATGAGAGGCAGTAACGAAAGACTGTTTTCTATAGGACAAGAAGGTTGAGAGGGGACTGTTAGAAGTGTTAAAAATCAAGAAGTCCTTTTTTTAAGTGCAGATCTGTCCAGCAAGCAGGGTCTCCGCTGATGGTGCTGTACCAAATGTAATGATTGTTAATATTATTACACAGTCAGACAGGCGCAATAGGTTGAATGGTCTTCTTCTGTGCTGAAAATTCTATAATTATAGGAGAGGTTTGGTACAGGGCAGCAGTGTTAGCAACCAATACATGTAGCTCTGAACATACAAAAAAGTAGGGAACATATTGACAGAGTAAAACCACTCCATAATATTTAGTGGGAATTTTGTGTTCACTTATGTTCATCTAATTTTGTCTGCTGGACGTTTACAGGCATTAAGATACTCACTTTAATTATAATTATTATTTTTTTGAAAACGAATTTGAGATGTTTCTTTTCGGGCAAATGCATGCAAGTTGTTGGCGAGCTTCTTTTCATCGAATATGCCAATAATGTTGATTCTTTTGCCTCGAATAACTGTTGACCAGAAGGGAAAGCTGGAGGAACTGAATTGGTGAGTAACTTTCCTGCAGTAAAGCTGCCTCAGTGAAAGAGTCTGCAACTACAACGACAACAATAATCTCACAAGTATCAGAAACAACAATAATCATCCTTGCCTTCAAGACGTCTCAAAGAGCTTCACAGAATATACTGTGAAGTGAATTGACTGTATATTTTTGTGGGTGAAAGTGTGATATATAAAGGTGATGTGGCCAAGGTACATTGCTAGGTACCAGAAGTATCAGATTTATCACAGCGGAGAGTAGAGAAAGCAGGAAAGAAGATAGTGTTAGTATCTCTGGTATTTTGGGTGGACAGATATGGAGATGCTCCAACTCTCGCCATCTCACATATCCCCTACTCTTCACTACAGGCTGAAGATAAAGAATGTGATGCTCCAGTAACAGGTCAAGAAGCTAAGAGAACAGGTTCAACAGAGACTGGCTGTGAGTGCTCATAGACCCGTTTCGGTGCAAACCTGCGACTGTGCTGAGTCATCGGGTTTTTTACTCAGCAAGGCAGTTACGCACAGCTAATACGTTACAGATAACAGACACAAATGTTCACAGTAAAGTACTGACTCTCGCACACAATAAGTTTCACCAGGTTTTTTTGAGACACGCGGAGCCCTCTCCTGGACAAGCCCGTTACTGCTGAAATAATAATAATAATAATAATAATCCTTGCATTTGATTTCGTGCTTTTCACGTCGGGAGGACGTCCCAAAGCGCTTAAAAGGAACGAATATAAATAAACAACAACAAATTACATTTGTACAGCGTCTTTCACGTCGGCAGGACTTTCCGAAGCACTGTCCCAAACAACAGGTAACACGGGAGTTGCGGCTGATGAGTACAATAAAAGAGGAAGACTTTGCTGATGTTTTTTTCTTTTCACTTTGTTTGTATCCCATTTAATCATGATATCAACCCAGAATTCTGCCTCAGGAGCTGAAACGGGCAAGTTGTCAACCATGGGCTGAGTCTATCTGGTGTGTGTGAAGCACGCGGGAAGTACTCAATAATCTTCTTTTAATTTATTTAAAAATAAATAAATAAAATAATAATCATTTGGTCACTCAATCCACAACTGTTTGTGGGAGACTGGCTGTGTGCAATTGGCTGCTGCCTTTCATCCACAAAGTATACAGTCAATTCATTTTGATTCATTATTATTATTATTATTTTACTTTCTGTATATTCTGTGAAGCGCTTTGAGACGTCTAAATGACGTGATATCAAATGCAAGGATTATTATATACTGTATTATACTCTTAATCCATGCTTTATCTCCTTATGTTGTTGTTTTTCTCTCCATTTAAATGTTCTTCTGAGTCTTGAATACAAATTGAGGTGTTGGTTGGCTTCCTGTGTTTTCTTGTATTAGCGATGTCCTGAACACTCTGTGCTTTTGGCTAAACATGGGAATAAAATCTATAACTTTCTGTTCCGAGTACTGTGCTGTCAGGAACCATTATAAAGTTACCAGTGGTAAGAAGATCAATACACTTCACTGTGCTCTGAATAAGCTATCACAAGAGCTCATTAATTTTGTATTCAGTTTGTGTCACTGCTGATAGTACCTCAGGAGCTGAGTTGGATCAGCCCTGGACTTGGGACCAAAAAATAAGGGGCTCAAATCCCAGAGACTACTTAGTCAGTCTTTAAACCTTCGAGATTAATAATGTGAGGGTTGAACTTGCTCCAAGGAGATATCCTAGCACAGCCAGGCAGGTACGAAGAGTGATGTATTGTTTGTATCTTTTAACCAATGCAGACCTTTCTCTGAGGAGATATTGTGGGAGGCTGCCATCACAATGGAGTAGGTGTGGAAGGAGAGGGGTTGAGGGGTTGAGTGACCTCTTCTCATTCCACGCTTTATTGTGTTCTGAATACCCATGACGATTTGATTCATGAATTTCGGTCCGGATTCTTGGAACTCTTACAACATGATTGCATTTATAGAGCGCCTTTCACGTCGGGAGGACGTCCCAAGGCGCTGGACTGTTGGGTCGGGACCCGAGCAGGGGGGGAAATTGGTCAGGGTGAGGGGGAGAGGTAGGTCGGAGAGGTAGGAGGGTGCAAAGCCGTGAATGGCCTTGTAGGTGAGGATGAGGATCTTGAATTTGAATTACACTCTTGAATTACACTCTCTGCTGACACCTGAGGGTATGCTGCATTACTCACCAAGCCAGTCAGGAACCTCCACCCCCCCACCAAACAAACCTCACAGCATACTGGTGACAACTCAGCTTCAGATGGAATCATTAATTAGTCACCAGTGTCCTTGCTGTTGCTGTTTGTTCACTCTGATCATCAATGCTCTACTGCACCATTTGACATCTGACACAATATTTCACTGTTAAATGCGGCTCCTTTTTGTTTGACAAATGATCTTTTAACACTCAATAAATAATTCAATAAAACCATGAATAATAAAATAAGGAACAGAATCATAATAAATAATAACAATAATCCTTGCATTTGATATAGCGCTTTTCACATCTTCTGGACGTCTCAAAGATCCCAATTGGTATAATCTAATTCCCCTTTCTAGGACAGGATTAAATAGAAAACTGGAACGATTAAACAGACAATTGGCAAAAGAACCAGGGGGGAGATGAGGAGAATTTTTTTTAAAAAGCAGCGAGTTGTTACGATCTGGAATGTACTGCCTGAATGGATGGAAGCAGATTCAATAATAATTTTCAACTGGATGTTTACTTGAAAAGAAAAAAAGAAAAAAAATTGCAAGGCTGTGGGGAAAGAGCAGGGGAATGGGACACAAAACAAAAATTACAAAATACAAAATTACATTTGTAAAGCGCCTTTCATCTCGGGAGAACTAAGTAGATAGCTCTCCCAAAGAGCCGCTACAGGCACGATGGGCCAAATGGCCTCATTCTGTGCTTAATCTGGACCAAGTCCCTTTTCATCTCACTATAATTTGTTTTTATCCAGTGAATAATAATAATTCTTGCATTTGATACAGTGCCTTATCATGTCGGCGAGACATCGCAAAGCTCTTCACAGAATATACTGTATATTAGGCAAGTTTCTTTACTCCAGACAGAAGTCTGTTTACCTAGCAGTAGTCTTGTTAGTCGATTGGCGGATCAGTTTTCCGGGGGTAATACTCTCTCCAAAAACAATAAATAAATAATAATAATAATTTGGTCACTCAATCCACAACTGTCTGTGGGACACTGCTGTGCGCGATTGGCTGCTGCGTTTTGTCCACAAAATACAGTCGCTCCACTTTACAGTGTATCCTGTGAAGCGCTTTGAGATGTCTTGAAGACGTGATAAGGTGCTATATCAACCTCAAGGCTTATTATTATAAGTTATTATCATATTGTGATCATAGTTTATCAAGTATTACCCACTTTTAGACTGCCTATACATGGTGCTCTGCATTATCCACAACCAGATCACATAAGGCTTCCTTCCCTGTTGTAAAACAACATATTGAGAAAATTGACCTGAATACATGACAAAAATACCTCTCCTTTCTCACCACAAATATTTTCCCTACAACAGCCTAATTTTGTATAATTATAACCTATCACAATTATAACAGTGCCAACTTGGCACACTTGGTAAAGCCCTAGCTTCTGGGCAGAAGGTTTTGGGTTGAAGCCTCACAAGGGGACATGATCTTGAGTCTAGGCTATAATCCAGATACTTGGGCTGATGGCTTCATTCCCTGTTGAGCTGGTCAACCATGAGATAAATTAATAATAAGATGAACACCATTAATAATCCTTGCATCTGTTATAGCGCCTGATCACATTTGATGAGATGTCTCAAAGTGCTTCAAAGAATATGCTGCAAAGTGAATTGGATATATATTTTGTGGGCGAAACAGGCATAGATCAGGTTGTTGATGGGCACTGTTGGAAGGTTTTCAAAGGGCTATCGTGACACTAGTTTCAATGGGTCAGCAAACCCCAAATTACAATTCTCATCAAATATCCAGATGAGACACCTGCCTGATCAAAGGAAAACCAGAGAAACAACCACTGTCGTCTCCAACCGAAACTCTGGTGAGTGGCCACGCTCCAGCAATCAACACTGGTTCTCAACAATGTTTTGTCGGGGTGTGTATGTATGTGCGTGTGTGTGGACTCAGCGCTGTAAAGAAGGGAGCGTGGGCAGAGAGGAGCACACAAGGGAGAAAGGAGACTGGAAGGACTGCCCTAGTCTGCTCCGGAAACTGGGGAGAAACTCGAGACCTTTCAAAGCACAACAATGAACAAAGAGCCGAAGCATCGTCTCTATCTGTAACTGTCATTTTCTTTCTTTCAACCATCTCTGGGAATATTTCTGGGCTCTGTTCTTCAATATTCAATAGAAAACTGCCGACCAGTTCAGAGTTCGTAGTTAAAACAGCCTCTGAATTAGACTGGAACTGTGAATTCTCCTTTGAAAATGTACTGAATCCTGTAGAGTTAATATCGTCCACGCAGTTGCCAGAGCTGAGCCAGACAGGTGGGTGAAACCCGTCCAGGCCCAGGAGGTTGAGTTTGTGACAGGCTGCATCGTCAGGGCTGAGAGAGAGAGAGAGACGTTAAACTGAGGTCCAGTCTGCCTGTTCAGGTGAGCCTTAAAGATGCCCTGTTTCTGCACAAAAAGGTCACTTTCTCCCCGTGTCCTGGCCGACAACCCTGATTGTGGGACCTCAATGTGCCCAAATTGGCTGCCAAATTCGCTTACGAAAACTACAATAATAATAATAATAATAATAATAATCCTTGCATTTGATATAGCGTTTTTCATGTCAGGAGGACATCCCAAAGCGCTTCACAGAACAACTGTAAAGTGAATTGACTGTATATTTGTGGGCGAACGCGGCAGCCAATTGCGCACAGCAATGTCCCACAAACAGTCGTAGATTGAAAATGACCAATTTATTATTGTTTTTGGTTTTGGAGGGATTATTATTAGGCTCCGTGTGGAGTAAGGAAACTTGCCCAAGGTTTCGCCCTCTGCCTGGAATTGAACTCAGGTCTCTCGCTTGCAAAGCGAGTGCTCTAACCACTGAGCTACAGGACTCCACCTCAGTGCACCCCACAGCAACTGTTCAAAAAGCCATTTTCAAATGTTTCCAGGTGTCAACAAAAACGTGAGGTCTTTCTTTCTAACCGAAAGAAAGCCTCTTGGAACTGTTGGCGCATTTCATCCATATGTTCCTTTCCATGGCTTCACGTGGTCAGTTATTATTACTGCGACAGATTCAATGTTCTTCATATAATTATCCACAGGTCCTGGTGCTGAGTGACGGGGTGGGGGGTGGGGTGGGGTGGGGTGGAGAAGGGTCTCTCGCGACATGATTCAGACAGAAAGAATTTCCCCAGTTAAGTGTCCGGGCCGACAATCCTCTATTCATCTTATGGCTATGTGTATGACCTTGCTTTCTGCATTCTCCGACAAAATAGTCACTACACTTTACAGCAATCATCCGTGCGAGCTTTCAAACATTTGAACGTTATAGGCACCAATGAGACATCACATAAAATGATTATTATGACATTTGAAAGTATTGAATCAAGTTGCACAAGAAGCATTCCAAACTGATAAAAGCGATAAAAGCGCTCTATCACATTCTTCACTTAATCTTGGCGGACCTGCCCTTGTCTGGTTCGATTCCTATCTCTCTCACCGTCTCCACTTTGTTGCCTCTAACGGTTTCTCCTCCAGCCCCCGCACTGTCACGTCTGGTGTCCCTCTCCGCTTTAATATCTACGTGCTCCCCCTCGGTGACATCGTCCGCAGACATGGGGTCAACTTCCACATGTATGCGGATCACACCCAACTCTATCTTTCTGCCCCCACCCTCAACTCCAGGACCACTGCTGTCCTGACAGACTGTCAGTCGGACATCAAGTCCTGGATGAGGGCAAATTTCCTACAGTTGGATGTGAACAAGACTGAGGCCCTCCTGATTGACTCGCGCCAGCGCCTCCGCACCTCAGGCTCCGGCAGCATCAACCTCCATGGCTGCACACTACAACCTAAGTGTGTTGTTCGACCCTCAACTGTCTTTTCTTCCCCACATCCAAGCCATGACCCGCTCTGCCTTCCCTCACCTCCGTAACATCGCCCGACTCCGCCACTACCTCACCCCTCAGGCCACTGAAACTCTTGTTCATGCCTTCATCACCTCCAGGCTCGACTATGCGAATGCCCTGCTTGTCGGCCTTCCCAACTCCTCCCCCCACAGGATGCAGATAATCCAGAACTCTGCAGCTCGTGTCCTCTCCCGCACCAAACTCCGCAGCCCATCTCCCCCATTCTCGCCCGACTCCATTGGCTCTCTATCCTTCAGAGGATCCAGTTCAAGATCCTGGTCCTCACCTACAAAGCCCTCCATGGCCTCGTCCCACCCTATCTCTGCAACCTCCTAACCCCCTACCAACCCGCCTGCTCCCTCCACTCAGCCGGCTCCAGCCTGCTCCACATCCCCCGACCCACCCGCCCCACCATTGGCGGGAGAGCCTTCAGCCACTCTGCCCCCAACCTCTGGAACTCCATCCCTCAATCACTCCGCCTCACCCCCTCCTTAACCTCCTTCAAGTCCCACCTCAAAACCCTCTTCTTCAACCATGCCATCGCCCCCCCCCCCCCCCCCCCCCCCCCCCCCCCCCCCCCCCCGACCCCAGCTCAGGTCTGAAATGCTGTACACTGTCCAACTCCTTGGGACGTCCTCCCAACGTGAAAGGCGCAATACAAATGTAATCTTGTTGTTGTTGTTGTTCTCTTTGTTAATACATAATATAATAAACCTTGATTTGATATAGCACTTTTCATGTTTTCTATGTGCATTATATTATGTATATTATGTAATTTCATCATATATATATATATATATATTTACCATTGCAGGTGAACAGTACTCAGGTAACCATCCACTTGTCTGACAGGTAATCGACTCTACTGTCTAACACCACCTAATCGTGTGTCTGTGTATCTCAGGTAACCTGTGGTGTGTGAGTGTGTGAGTGGGTGTGAGCTCCAGGTTACCTGTGGTGTGTGTGTGGGTGTGAGTGTGAGTGTGTGTGAGTGGGTGTGAGCTCCGGGTTACCTGCTGTGTGTGAGTGGGTGTGAGTGTGTGTGAGTGGGTGTGAGCTCCGGGTTACCTGTTGTGAGTGTGAGTGAGTGTGAGTGGGTGTGAGCTCCGGGCTGTTGTGAGTGTGAGTGAGTGTGAGTGGGTGTGAGCTCCGGGTTCGCCGCTCTGTCTCACACTCGGGTCCCGGTTCCGTGTCTCACACTGTGTGTCCGCAGATCCGACACTTTCGTTTTCGTTTCCCGGAAGCACTGTGACGGCCGCGGAATAAGCGGAGCTCAGCCCCGGGGGTCCCGGTCCCCCACAGCCCACACCCCCTCTCATGAATGTTCCTGTCGGGCTCTCCCCCCCGAGACCCCGGAGCCCCGACCCCCACCCCCGGCACCGGCACCGGCCCCGACACCGGGCAGCGGCCGCGGAGATGACAGAGGCGCCTCCACATCAGGTAAAGCCGTAACCCCTCACACCCTCTCACCCTCACCCCAACCCTCACCCGAAACCTCGCCCTCACCCAAACCCCAACCTCATCCTCAACTCAACCTCACCTTCACCCCAACCCAACCCCAACCTCACCCCAACACCACCCCAAACCCCAACCTCACCCCAAACCCAACCCCAAACCCCACCCTCACCCTCACCCCAACCTCACCCCAAACCCCAACCTCACCCCAACCCCACCCCAACCTCACTCCAACCCCACCCCAACCTCACTCCAACCCCACCCTCACCCCAACCTCACCCCAAACCCCAACCCTCACCCCAACCCTCACCCCAACCCTCACCCCACCCTCACCCCAAACCCCAACCTCACCCCAACACCACCCCACCCTCACTCCAACCCCACCCTCACCCCAAACCCCAACCTCACCCCAAACCCCAACCTCACCCCAACCTCACTCCAACCCCACCCTCACCCCAACCTCACCCCAAACCCCAACCTCACCCCAAACCCAACCCCAAACCCCAACCTCACCCTCACCCCAACCTCACCCCAAACACCAACCTCACCCTCACCCCACCCTCACCCCAAACCCCACCCTCACCCCAAACCCCACCCTCACCCCAAACCCCACCCTCACCCCAAACCCCAACCTCACCCCAAACCCCAACCTCACCCTCAACCCAACCCTCAACTCAACCTCACCCCAAACCCCAACCTCACCCCAAACCCCAACCTCACCCTCAACACAACCTCAACCTCTCTCCAAACCCAATCCCACCCAATTCCAATCTCACCTCAATCCCACCCCAATCCCACCTCAATCCCAATCCCACCTCAATCCCAATCTCACCTCAATTCCATTCCCACCCCAATCCCATTCCCACCCCAAAACTCAATCCCACCTCAATCCCAACTTCAATCCCAATCCCATCTCAATCCCAATCCCAACTTCAATAACAATCCCACTCAATGCCAATCCAACTTCAATCACAATCCCACCTCAATCCCAACTTCAATCCCACCTCAATCCCAATCTCAACCTCAATCCCAATCTCAACCTCAATTTTAATCTCAGCTTCAAACCCCAGTCTCACCGCAAGTGAATGAAACTCGAGGGTTAATTCAGTAAGCGAGATAACCCAGGTTCGATTCCTGCCCGGGGCAAAATCTGAGGCAAGTTTCCTTACTCCAAACTCCTTTGTTTACTGTACACTGTCCAGCGCCTTGGGACGTCCTCCTGACATGAAAGGCGCTATACAAATGTAATGTTGTTGTTGTTTACCTAGCAGTAAATAAGAAACTGGTTGTTAGTCAATTGGCAGATCGCTTTTCCAGGGGTAATAATCCCTCCAAGCAAAAAAAAAGAATAATTTGGTCACCCAATCCATGACTGTTTGTGTGCAATTGGCTGCCGTATTTCGCCCACAAAATATACAGTCAATTCACTTTATGGTATATTCTGTGAAGCACTTTGAGACGTCTCACTTTGAGATGTCTCAATAACGTGATAAGGCGCTATATCAAATGCAAGGATTATTATTAATACTTGCATCAAATCCTGAGATAACAAGGATTCCCCTCCCCCCACTCCCTCGTCTCTCCACACTCTCCCTCTCTCCCCACAGTCGCTCTTCCCTCCTTCCATAAATGCCCACCATCACTTTCACCCCTTCCCTCCTACGAATCTGTCCTTTTTGCAATCTTTCCTTCCTCTCCCTTTACTTCCTCTTCAATCCTCTCCCTTCCTCCCCTCCTCCTTTAATTCCCTCTTCCTCCCTTTCTCCTCTCCCCTGCCTTTTCCCTCTTCCATTTCCCTCTCTCCCCTTTCCATCTTCCTCTCTATCAAAGCACACATCCCAGTACACTTTACCAGCCCAACCTCTCCACAGTCACTCTCTCACACATACAGTGTGAACCCCTTTGTACAGTGTGTGGAGGGTTGACAATGAAGAGGCTTTGGTGGATAGTGTGGCAGTCACTGAACTCTCCTTATTGATTCACTCTGTATAGCAGGAACGAGTTTCCACTTCACAATCCCGGAATGCGAGACCAAAGTTTCTCTTCCCCTCCGCTCAGCCCCGACCAGTGAGATTTGTCTACAGAGGACCGAAGAATGAGCAGCACCGTGTTCCTGGCAACTTGAGTAAGTGCTGACTGACACAGCCGTGTTGAGGCGCAGAACCCATCACTCACCAGTATTCCTCAATATACCCATCACTGACCATTACCACACAAAGTATTTCATTGCTGACCAGTACCGCCCTGTGTAACTAATTAATGACTGTGATTGCATCATGTAACACATTGCTGAACCAAACAGAACCACCTGATATATTACATTGCTCGCTGATGTTAGCAGTGTAACCCACCCCGATTGGGTGTAACACAGTGTAGCACATCACTGACCAGTATTGCCTGCTGTAAACCATTGTTGGTTTGTCAGGTACTGTAACTCCTTGTAGGTGACCAATTATTGCCCCCCCATCTTGATTCCAACCCCCAACTCGGGTGTTGTGCAAACCCTTGAATATCCAGTGCCTTGGGATCTCCCTCCAACATCAAAGGCACTGTATAAAGGCAATTTGTTGTTGTTGCAGCATAGACCCACCCAAAACACCCCTCAATGGTCCAAGCCCTCACACTTTTTTACTGTTACAACAAGAAAGACTTTAAGAGTGTTTGGCAGCAGAATAGGTATAGACTGGGACTTTCCAGCCAGAAGCATTTTGGTCTTTTGCCAGGTGCTGAAGTTTTCTGGGCTGAGTGTACGTTGCTGTGTCATGAGGTATGGAGGAGAAGTACGGGCTGGTTAGATCTTTCTTTTAGAAACTTAGGACCAAGAGGAGACTACTCAGCTCATTGAGCCTATTTGCCAATTTATTAGATCATGGTAGATCTGTTAATCCCATTTCCCCACCTTTTTCCACACCTCTTAACACCCTCATGCCACAATTATTTATCCCACTCACTTTCAAACACCCCCAATTGATTCTGCCTTTATGTCCTTCGAGGGAAGCAGATTCAACATCCTCACAGTGTGAAGAAATGTCTGCTGATCTCACTTCTAACCACATTAGCCTTAATTTTAAGTTTTGTCCTCTGCAACCTACTAAAACTTTACCGACCTGCCCGCTCCCTCCATTCGGCGACACTTGCGTGCTTGATGTCCCCCGCCTGCCTGCTCCATCATCAGCAGTTGGCCCTTCAGCCTTTCTGCCCCCACCTTCTGGAACTCCATTCTGGAGCCCCTCCACCTCGTCCCCTCCCTTGCGTCCTTCAAGGCCCATCTCAAAACCTTCCCCTTTGACTGTGCTTTCGGTCGTCCTCTCATCTCCATCCTCTGAACCTCCACCCCACTTGATTCCACTTGTGAGAGTGATCATGTCCACACTTCCAAGGGTGGTGGATGCCTCCTCCACACTCTGAAGCTTCCTCTAGAATAACTCTGTAAAATAATCATTTTTACATTTGAATTAACACCCATGTTATTGAAAAATCCTCAAGGTACTTCACAGCGAATTCCTGTCAAATCTAGCGATTCCTGTTTTTATACAAATGCAGTAGTGATTTACCCACAGCAGTTCCTACAAACAACCATGAAGTGAAAGAGCTATAAATCTGTGGATTTATTGGCTTGCGCCCCAGGAGAAACTCACTGTCTCATTTGGAATACTGCCACGGGCCCTTTAATGTTCACCTGAACAGGCAGGCGGGACCTCAGTTTGAAGTCTTATCCAAAGTATGGCATCACCGACAGTACAATTCTTCTCCAGAATTCCTCTGAAGTGTCAGCCTAGACTCTGAGCTCCAACTCCTGATGCAATTGTTGCCATAATCATAGCCTGAAGCCCATGCAGCTGGTTTTGGCTAAACTCACCAGTTGACTTAACAACCAGGTTCCTACATTCTGCTGGATAAACAGAGCCGTGTGGAGTGAGGAAACTTGCCGAAGGTTTCGCCCGCCCTGGAATCAAACCCGGGTCCTCTCACTTGCGAGGCAAGTGTGCTAATCACTACACTATGGGACTCCCAAGCAACCCACCCACTCCCTGATTGTCCAGCCTAACAGCTCAGGAGGTGCCAGTACCTTCAGCATAAGCTTATTAATACCGAGCATGGTTTTAGCGGCCTGTGACTGTCACTGTGACTTACACTGAAGCTGATGTTTAACAGGAATGCAACCTGCACTTTGGAGTAAGGAAGATGTCCTGCACTGGCTGAAATGGGCTGAGATTGAATACTCACTGCATTGCAGCGAGGAGAGCAAATTTGAAATGAATGGAAAAGCTTTATGTCTGCTCACTAAGGACGATTTCCGCTATCGCTCACCCAGTTCTGGTAAGAGTCTCCCAAGGAGTCTGAGGCCATTTAAAACATGCATATGAAACTCAATTGGCTGCAGAAAAATTTCTCCCAAAATATAACCACATTAAGTCATGTTAAGTATGGAGTCCTGCAGAATACTGGTTAGAGCACTCATCTCGCAAGGGAGAGGATCTGAGGGTTAGTCGACTGGCAGATCGCATTCCGGGGGTAATAATCCTTCTGAAAAAAAACAAAGAGAAAAATAATAATTTGGCTACTCAATCCTGTTTGTGGGACACTGTTGTGCACAAATTCCAAGCAGGGCGAAACCTTGGGCAAGTTTCCTTACTCCACACGCCTGACAATAATCCTTCCAAAACAAAAACCATAATAAATTGATGATTTCAATCCACGACTGTTTGTGGGACCCTGTTGTGCGCAATTGGCTGCCGCGTTTCGCCCACAAATATACAGTCAATTCACTTTACAGTCCATTCTGTGAAGCGCTTTGAGATGTCGAGAAGACGTGAAAAGCGCTATATCAAATGCAAGGATTATAATTGGCTGCCACGTTTTGCCCACAAAGTCTACAGTCAATTCACTGTACAGAATATCCTGTGAAACACTTTGAGACATCTGATTGACGTGATAAGGCGCTATATTAAATGCAAGGATTATTAAGTCAACTTCAGGAATCAGAACATTGAGGAAGGGCAGGTTATATAGGCCCGGGGCTGCTCGGCAAACAGACAGCAGAAAACCAGCATCCACAGGCTATGTGGGTGTGGCACAGAGAACAACTCACTGCAGAGGTCACAGAGAATCACATGCAAGGCATCTGGGTTGCACCCCCTGACTGTCCAGCCTGGCAGGTCAACACACGGCTTGATAGTGACACACAGAGAGATTGCTAGTGACCCATGAGAATAATCATAGTGACAATTTTTCCGCTACTTATGATGGGAAGATATGAGCTCTAGTTCATAGTAATGTGACTGTGATTTTTCCAACAGGTGATGTGCTGTATGAAATACTTCAACTGCTCAGCAGTCGGGAGAAGCCAACGCAGAGCACTCTATTCCTGAACCCAGCCTCAAGCCTGACCATGCGTACGCCACACATCTATGAACACAGCTCCATGCACACAGCAAACATCCACGCACAGAGCAACTTTGAAGGTACGTCAGAGCAGTTAGGAAATCACTGGAACAGTTCAACGCTACAATGCACACAACTATTACCATTTGGGATGATAGGCATATACCTCACAAGATCACAAGATCAATTCAGATAAAGGTCTTTTGACCCATTTAATCTCATCGTTCCAAAGTTAAATGTACACGACCAATCCCCAGCGCTTACCCTCTGAGTACACCATTTACACTTAGATAGGATTATACAAAGATTATTATTATTATAGGGTCTTTCACAAAGGATGGACATTTCAAAGTGTTCAGTGGAAAGGAGAGTTTGACCAAAGGCTGTCTCAAAGAGATTTTTAAGAAGGTTTGGAAGACAGGGAAAGAAGATGCCAATCAAAAAGAATATGGCAGAAGGTTATCTCATTGACAAACCTATTGTCAGCCTTGCTCAGTTGGTAGCACTGAGTCACAAGGTTATGGATTCAAGTCGTGCTTCAGGAACTTGGGAGTTCATTATCCAGGCTGTCGCCCCAGTGCAATGTGAGAGGAGTGCTGCATTGTCAGAGGTGCCATCTTTTGAATAAGATATTAAATTGTGGTCTTATTTACCTTTTCATTGAAGAACCCATGACACAGTTGAAAAAGAGAAGGGAGTTTCTCTCAGTGTCCTGCCCAATGTTCCGCCAGTTGAATTGGTTATTTACCTACTCACTCATGGAGATGAAGTAGGATGTTTACAGGGGGAGATTGTTTGCAATGTGGTGATTTGTGGCTTATTATTTAAGGTGCTTTACTTGATTCCTGTAGTGTATTATTAATTAGAGCACTCGCCTCGCAAGCGAGGGCAGGGTGAAACCTTAGGCAGGTAATCCCTTCAAAAAAACATATTTTGGTAACTCAATCCATGACTGTTTGTGGGACACTGCTGTGTGCAATTGGTTGCCTCGGTTCGCCCCCAAAATGTACAGGCAATTCACTTTTGAGTATATTCTGTGAAAGCGCTTTGAAACATCTCAATGACATTGATAAGGTGCTATAACAAAAGCAAGGATTTTTATTATTATTATTTTTCACTCCAGATGGTCAGAGGAAAATGCTGCAAGTCATGAATGTAACAGCCAGGGATAAGGAGAGGCTCCATGCACTAAATCAGCCCACACTGCTGTCTCTGCACTCAATGGGTAACGCAGAGCAGCCTGAGAATAGGCACTGTGAGAAACCATTGAACCTCTCCAACAAATCACTGGGGGATTCCAGGCAATACCTGCTGGAATCCACCACATCCGCACAGCAAGCACCCACCAACGGCAAAATATCAGGTGAGTGTTTGGATCACAGTGAAGGACCTACCCAACCATTCAGACCAAAATGTTCCAGTTGCAACTCAACTGTACCGAGTTTACTGATTTGTGCCCCAAGGGTGAGGACAGGTAAATAATAATTTGGTCACTGAATCCACAACTGTTTGTGGGACACTGCTGTGCGCAATTGGCAGCCACGTTTCGTCCACAAAATTTACAGTCAATTCACTTTACAGTATATTGTGTGACGGGCTTTGAGATGTCTTGAAGGCTTGATAAGGCGCTATATCAAATGCAAGGATTATTATTAAATAAGCCTGGGCTATTGCTCCTGATTATTGTCTCCCCTTCTGAAAAGTAGAGGGCTCTGGATTTTAAACGTTCTGAGACCTTGTCCTGGGTGGAGGGTGTTATTGTTGGATGTCAGAGTCAAATACCCCATTGACTCTGTCTTGCTCTTGTGAGCTTGGACTCAGCTCCCCTGCAATGCATTGTCAATGTGCCTGTGTATGGAAGGACTGATATCACCAGTGCAGAGCTAACAGAAAGGTGTTGGTACATACACACGTTCTTATTTAATAGTCCTGAATTATTTTAATTTCCAGCAACTTGTCAAATTACTTTATGCAATTGCTCCATAGTTCCTCGTTCTACAGCCTGCACAACTGGTTTGTTCCCCCGCCTTTCATCCTTTTACTAAATATGATTCTTCTAAACTTTCTGTTAGATTTTACCCTTTGAGGTGGTGACCGCAGCAATTCTCAACAGACGGTGTGTAGATCATAGGCCAGCAGCCTGGCTCCCAGTACCCAGTCCGTTCCAGAATGGCACTCAGTGTGGATGGAGGAGAGAGTAAATGGCACCAAGTTCTGTGTTTGGCATCTAGCTCTGACATGTGCCAGGCTAGTCTGTGTGTAACCAGGCAGGGTGACTGACATTTTCTAGGCTGTGTATAAGAGTGTAACTTGTGCCCAATATAACCCTATAGTCTGCATTGATGCCTTTCCTTACTAATAAAATACCTTCTGGTGTAGATTGCCGGCTGCTGTGGGATTACGTTTACCAATTGCTGTCCGACAGTCAATACGAGCCTTACATCAAGTGGGAAGATAAGGAAACCAAGGTCTTCCGTGTGGTGGATCCCAACGGGCTGGCGAGACTGTGGGGCAGCCACAAGGTCAGTGATGGGCTGGGGCAATCCTCTCACAACAAGATCTGTGTATCACTCCGTCACAACAGCTGCTTACATTTGCTTCACCTCTGCTTCCCAGTATTTTACAAACCTGTATCATGTCCCCCTCGATCTTCTTTCTAACGAGAACGAATTTCAGTTCTGGGGTTCTGAGTTCTGGAATCAGGCTCGTCCAGCCACCTGCGTGAGGGGCGATATATAAACACAAGTTGTTGTTGTTTCTCTTCAATGCATGAATGTCCTTTTGAAGGATAAGGAATCTGAAACAACTGGTCTCACAATTCCACACATAGACTCATTAGAGCCCTGGTCTTACCCCGTGTTTCTAACACACAGTGAATACCTTTTTGGATTCTGCCCATGTTCAATTTGTTTTATTGCACCACCCTATGTGTGGTAACATTTCAGGAACAGTTGCAAAGGTTTGGGGCTATAAAGGTTGAGGATGGGCCAAAGTAAACAAGTGGGATACACCCACTGACATTCAGCTACAATATACAACTTCCTCATCCTATCGGCTGAGTGCTTGATAACAGGTTCTACAGGAAAGAGGAAGTGCAGAAATTCATGAAGACTCTCTTGTTACTCACTCATGTTCAGCTCTTGGTCTGACAGGATGGAGTGGGGGGGAGGGGGGAATTGTGGCACAAGGGGGCAGTGGAGGCAGTGTAGTTTGGGGAGGTAGTGTGGTGGGGGTGCAGTGTGGGGTTGGGGGACAGTGTAGGGGTGAGGCAAATGTGGGGTGGAGGCGCAGTGTGGCGTTGGGGGACAGTGTGGCGTTGGGGGATAGTGTGGCGTTGGGGTGCAGTGCGGGCTGGGGGGGTTCAGTGCGGGGGGTGCAGTGCGGGGTAGGGGGGGGGGGCAGTATGGGGGGCTGTCTGTTTACCCCCAGACAGTTTCAGCTGAGTTAGCATTGAGGAGCTGGGGCTTTATTACTTTGTGCTTTCCACAGAACCGAGTAAACATGACGTATGAGAAGATGTCTCGAGCACTGCGGCATTATTACAAGCTGAACATCATCAAGAAGGAGCCGGGACAGAAGTTGCTTTTTAGGTCAGTGTACACCTGGAGCTCGAATCACTCGGCCTGTCACTGGCTCACTCGCTCTTTCAGCCTGTCACTCGCTTATTTACTCACTAAGCCTATTACGCACTCAATCACTCACTCAGCCTGTAAATCAATTGCTTAATCAAATACTCATTTAATCAACCACTTAAACAATTACTCAATAAATCAATCACTGGATCAACTTGTCACACAATAGACCTGTCACTGATTTGGCTTGTCACTCATTGAATCAACCTGTCTCACTCACCACTTACTCGTTTGAGCAGAACATACTGCTTTCTAACCCAGCATCAACTGGGATTTTCCTATTCCGTGCTTTCTCGGCTTCTGAAACCTAATCGGGGTTTAACCCTCACACTGCTTCTTCCTGGTTTCTCTCTCCTTTGTGCTCCAGTACGTAGGCAGGTCTCTAGGCACATATAACATGGCTGCTGTATATCCTGAACAGATTCCTGAAGACTCCAGGAGAAATCATCCAGAAGCCGGAGAAGTTGGAGGAGCTGGAATCCCGGGATCAGGATGGGCCAGAATTCAAAGACACTTTTGAGCTGTCTCCGCTCAGCTCCCAATGACATTTAACCTCACCTGTGGCACCTACTTCAAGGCACGTCTCAAAACCCTCCTCTTTTACCGCTCTTTCTGTCACCCTTCTACCCCCACCCTCCCTGTCCTCCACCCTCCCTGATCCCAATCCCCAGCTCGGGTCGAAATCCCTGATTGTTCAGTGCCTTGGGATGTCCTCCCAAAATGAAAGGCACTGTGTAAATGTAATTTGTTGTTGTTGTTGACGGACGCCTGTCACAACAGGATTTGTCGCTGCAGGTACAACTATATCTCTGTCTCCAGGTCTGGGTTTGTTAATATTAACACTACAAGGTACTGTACATGCAAACTTCAGTGTAACATATTATTGCAGAGCGTCTCCGGGAAGGTAAATATATTAACCTTGCTCCTGCAGCCTCCTGTTTCTCTGCCTCTTTGCACTCAATATCACAGAGCAGCAGCTCTAAAAAAAACTGCTCCCAGAAATCACTCTAAATCCACTCTGCATGCCACCCTCACAAACCAGGGTCAACACACTGTACCAGCATCACATGCCAGGGCCATACGTGGCATAATCATATAGTGTAGTGGTTAGCGCGGTCACTTCACGAGAGAGAGGCCCCGGGATTCGATTCCTGGACAGGGCGAAACCCTAGGCAAGTTTCCTTACTCCACACATCTCCGTTGACCTAGCAGTAAGTGGAAATCCGGTTGTTAGTCGATTGGCAGATTGCTTTCCAGCGGTAATAATCCCTAAAAAAAAATAGTTTTAATTGGTCACGCAATCCAGACTGTGGGAAACTGCTGAGCGCAATTGACTGCTGCGTTTCACCCACAAAATACACAGTCAATCCACTTTACAATGTACTCTGTGAAGCGCTTCGAGGCATCTCAGTGATGTGCCAAGGCGCGATATGAAATGAAAGATTATTATTATACACACACAGTGCAAACTTTACCCACCGGGGTCCCACACCATGCCAGCCTCGTTCAGGCAGATATACCAGTGATTGGCAGCACGTATCAGTATGACCAGACAGTCGTCCCCACAGTTATTAATTATTCTCAGAAACACTTGGACTGTTTTTCTACTAAAGAGGAAGCAGTCAGGGAGTCTGGAGTTTTCCACCTCCCTGACCACGCTCAATTTCACCTCCTGGGCATGGAGTTCCTCTTAACTCCGCGCACCCAGGGAGTTTTACAGTCCTGGCAAGTGGCGTATTACACAGCAACTAACCAGCAGCCTTTATTACAGTGTCGGTATAACTTCATCCCTGCCTACAAGTCCCTCCCCCCAAACTCTCTAGGCCCACAGGACAGTGTGGATCTGATACCTGTCTTCACAACCCCCCAAGAAGGTCAGGTCAGGGATGGTCTCTCTGGCAGGAACGCCTGGTCTGAGCCTAGTGACCAGGTGCTCGAGTGAGCTCTGTATTCCAGTATCTCTACCTCCTCTGTGTGAGGGCAGATCCCACTCCTGCAGGAAGTACAGCCATACCTATCCCAGTCAAAACAGAAAGGTTGGATGGATGCCTCATCTCAGTTTGCCTGAGATAAATGAAATTATTGTCCATTGAACTCTCCTTCGAAGCACCCCAAGTGAAACAATAAATTTGTTATACCTTCCATCAGAGTCCCCAAATTCCAGTCCTTGTTACTTCATTATGTTACGAAGATTAACAGCACTTAGTAGTTTCTATTTCCACTGTTAGTTCTCCTGCCCCAATCTCATCACTGTACATTTGTCCAGATTAAATTACATTTGCCACTTGTCAGCCTACCTCCCTGATCAATTCAGATTCCTATGCATATTCCCTTTCATTTGCAACTTTCCCCAATTTAGTATCAACAGCAAACTGATCCCTGAGACACCCATTGAGCACCTCTTTCTGTGTCAGTGAATCTTTATTTATAACGAGTGTGTATGCTGCTTCTCGTGATGCAACTACAGTAAACTTGTGATAACTTGTCACTTCCAAGGGAAAAGGGCTCAGTGATGAGTTATCAGGAGTGGCTGGTTAGGCATATGTACAAATACATAAATAAATGCTGCCGGAATATTGAGAGCACGGTGATTTACCTGGTAGGACAAAGTTAATCTGGGGTCAAGTTACCAGGGGTTTACTATAATTCCTGACGACTTCAGAGGCTTCTCCCATCCTGTGTCTCCAACTTGTTCTAAAGATAATAATAATCCTTGCATTTGATATAGCGCTCTTCACGTCTTCTCGACGTCTCAAAGCGCTTCACAGAATTGACTGTAAAGTGAATTGACTGTATATTTGTGGGCGAACGCGGCAGCCAATTGCGCACAGCAATGTCCCACAAACAGTCGTAGATTGAAAATGACCCATTTATTGTTTTGTTTTGGAGGGATTATTATTAGGTGTGTGGAGTAAGGAAACTTGCCCAACGTTTCGCCCTCTGCCTGGAATTGAACCCAGGTCTCTCGCTTGCAAAGCGAGTGCTCTAACCACTGAGCTACAGGACTCCACGATTGGAGGCAAACACTCTGTTAAAAGCTTAATTATGAAACTGGCAATACATGATTGAGCCTGGCTTCAACCACACTTTGTGGCAATACGTTCCAATCATTGATTACCCTCTGAATAATGCAAAAGTTCCTGGTTTCTGTCTCGCAATTGCCCTTTACAGCTCTAAACCTGTTCCGCTGCCTTGTTTCACCCTAAAGTCTTAAGCTGGTTTTAAAGAGGAAGCCCTACCCATCAGCTTTCATAGCGACCGGGGATGGCCAATAAATACAAGTGTTGCCCATATCCCGAAAGAAGTTTTTAAAAATGGTGGTGGTTGTTGTTGTATACAAACCCATATCCCTGAATGTGTAAAACGTCACTTTCCTGCATTCATTTGATTTTGGGAAGGATACTTTCCAGCGTAATGCATACTGGGATCCATGTGAAACATCTGCAGATTGCATATTAAATATAATCACAGGTTCGGCCGACAGATCAACCAAAGAAAGCAAAGCAAATCTTTATTCTGAGAGAGAAAAAACTGCATAAAGAGTATTGAACTGGATTGTCATGAATCTTCAATCGATATTTGTGTAAAAACCTTCTGTGAAGGACTTCTTTTATTGTGTGTGTTTTTTTCTTCATTATACAACAACCACAAGTAGTTACCTAACGCCCTTCACTGAGGGTGACATCCCAGAGCACTTTACAAGGACAGAGCTGGTCGCTGAACGAGGGAAAGAGGGGAGGAGGATGGGGTGAAAGGCGAGATGCAACTACATGTAGGTATTTTAAAAATGTAGAATTGTAATTTGGACTAGCATGTTAGTGTGAGAATTGATCAATATTTGGTCTCAGAGAAGGTGCTGAGAAATAATTTCCATTTTTCATTTTCCAAATTATTTGTACTTGTGGAGGTTTCTGCACGTCCTATGCGAAGAGGAGGAACGTGTGGACAGGAGGAATTGGAATGAATGCATTGCTTTCCAGCAAAATCAACTCCTTCAATGGACTTTGCTACCAAACCAGGGGCAGCTTCCCAGCTACTGAGAACTTGTTTGCAATAGGTAGAGAGGACTGCAAGTGCTGCTACCTTGAGAAAAAATGAGGCAGAGGAATGTATTCTGAGCATCTTAAGAAAAGACAGATCGCCTTCCGCGCCTCTGCTCTCTCCACCGATAAGAAGTTCAAAACACGTCCCACTCATTCTTTTGATGAAGCATCAGCCACACACACTTGGGAGCAACCTGTCTCCAGCCTTCCACGGTCTCAGCGTCACAACCAGTGAAGGCACAAGGCTAGGGCTTAATTAGGAAGCTGGAACAAACGGGATTCCTTGCCCTGGCCTTACACGAGTGGACCAGTGATTGGAGGCATGGGAGGCTCAGGGGTTGGGACTGTGATGTGTATGTTATGTGCTCAATGGAAAGTAGGGATGACAGGAAGAATGATCTTTCTCGTTCACACTTTAGCTTCTTTTGAAGGGATTTGGGGAGACAAGAACCTGCCAAGGCGGTTGCACATATCAGTTACATTGAGGACTAAAATATATTTCTGAGCTTGTCCGCCAATAGCAGTGCTCCTCCACGTGATCAGAAAATCTCTTCACTCTGTAACAGATAGATTTTCACTTACTGCAGGCAACGAAGTTACAGTGACTACCCACATACACACACCTCATACACACACACACAGTGTCAGCAATCACACCCCCATAATGCCATCACAAACATACACACACGCAGAGCAAGCAATCAGAAACACACCCAACCGCAAATCCCAGTAATCTCTGACACACACAGAACCACTCATAGCAATCCCCCCCCACCCCCACTACAAACACACACATATATAGCCAGCAATTGCATAACTCACACATACACCAACACACACACACATAGTACCAGCACTCACATACCTAGCATAGTTTGCGCTGTGTTACACTTTCTGGAATAATAATAATCCTTGCATTTGATATATCACCTTATCACGTCTTCAAGATGTTTCAAAGCACTTCACACAATATACTGTAAAGTGAACTCACTGTATATTTTTGGATGAAACATGGCAGCCAATTTCACCCAGCAGTGTCCCATAAACAGTTGTGGATTGAGTGACCCAATTTTTGTTTTAAACTGATTAGTACCCCTGCAAAAGCGATCCACCATTGGGCTAACAACCGGGTTCCTACTTACTGCTAGGTAAACAGAATGGTGTGGGGTAAGGAAACCTGCCTAACGTTTCTCCTTGCAGGGAATCGAACCCGGATCCTTTCGCTTGCGAGGCGAGTACTCTGACCACGGAGCTTACAGGAATCCCCATGTGTTGCACGCAGCAGCTTCCAAGACAGAAATGCAACTCACCCAGCTCACCCTCAGAAATTCCAGGGCATCCCGGTAACCATTCTGCCGGAATTCCTTCAACATCTGAAAGAGCAGCGGCTTCACACTCAGTCCCATTTCCCAGCCCAATGTGATGTCCATGTTCATTAGAACACACCAGCCCACGGGGAGAGTGGAAACAACGCTCGGCCATTATAGGGGCAGGAGGTAAACAGATTGCTGGTTGCAATGGTAGTGCGGGGGGGGGAATGGGGAGAAGAGCTGTCAGTGGGGTGGGGGAGGACATTCCGGCAGGAGGCAAAGGAAGTGTTTCAGTGTGTGTGTGTGTGTGTGTATTGGGGGGGGCGGTGAGGCGGGGGCGAAGCACTCCAGCCACAGTGTAGTTACCTCAGAATGTGGTGGGATGAGCGCGAAGATGAAGCGCAATAGGTTCTCCGGGCACAAGGTGTAGCTGCTATTGCTGAATCCCATGGTGTAGCCGATATCGCTGCTTGGGCAAATGTCCGTCTTGCCAGAGAACGGTGAAATGGTGATCGTCCTCTTTCCATCAAACAAAGGCTGATTGTTGCTTAATCCTCCGTCAATATAGCGCTGCAAGCACAGACAAGTTATACACAAGCCTTGTGCAAGCGGCAGAACGCATCAGCTATTTAGTTGACTACTTAAGTCTCGGTTTTATTCGTTGCTTTGCACACATTAATCTGCGAGGAAATTCCGAGAAAATTGTAACTCCCCAGAATGAAAGCGCACAAACAGAACCCGATTTCACACACCAGTTAATAACCAGGGATGGCAGTGTGTCCGTGGATGTCTTGTGATCTCAACTCTGAACTGAACAAATTAGGAATTGTCAGCATTTGGAAATTGTGGGTTTGTGAAGCAAGGATAAGAAGCCTTTTCATTATCAAAGTATTAAAAATAAAAGACTGACATTACAAACAAGAAACGTGGCTCCCATTACTGATCATGGTTGTTGGTGCATATATGTGTCATCAGATGAGGGCCAGATTAGACTTGGCAGTGATTTCCACATTGATGAACGCTCTAACGACACTCAGGCACTCACTCATTTAACCCCGCAGATTGAGTGAAGAGAATAGGAAGACATCCACAGCCAATTTTGCCGTGCACATTTGAAGAGTCCAGTTAATTTGATCTCATAGCACCATTCTCGCTCGGCTCCCAATCCCCCAGTGGATTGAGTTCAAGATCTTTGTCCACAATTTCAAATCCCTCTAAACCTTCACCCCACCTACTTCTGGGTCCTCCTGCACCTTGCCAACCTGACTGCTCCACCTGCTCAGTGAACACTGGCCTGCTTCCTGTCTCCTGCCCAATCCACCCCACGATCAATGAATGAGCCTTCAGCCATTCTGTCCCCACTTCCTGGAACTCCATCTCAAAGTTCTTCGGACTTGACCTCTACTCACTTTTAAAGCCCGCCTTATGTCTTACCACTTTGACCATGGTTCAGTCAACCTTTCCCTTCTCCATCCTCTTCAGCTCTCCATCCCGCCCCCTACCAGCTCTGGTGCCCTGCCAGCTATGTAAACGGCTTTGAGATGTTCCCCCAGACGTGAAAGGTACTATATAAATGTGTTTGTCACTACATATTGTGACAATATGTTGAGAATGTAAAATAATTACAATATGGATATAATATGCACCCAGGCCCACATCATCAAACCTCTACCCCACTAAAGAACTTTCAAGGGAATATCCAACAATACTCTGCAGCACACAGGCAATAATGCACTACGACAAGTGTAGGCATGTAATAATAATAATACAAATAATAATCCTTGCATTTGACATAGCGCCTTATCACACCCCTGAGACGTCTCAAAGGACTTCACTGTACAATGAATTGACTGTATATTTTTGTGGGCGAAATGCAGCAGCTAATTGTGCACATGTAATATGCAACCCTACAATGATTCTGTAGTGATGGAGACAACACACCAGCTATGTTACTGTACAGAGCTGTACATGGCCATGTCTGGACCAGAGCACGCTGCACATACTGGGAACATCTCTGTGTTACGAGCTTGTTGCTGCTCCGTCTGAGAGGCATGTGTAGGGTCTTCTGAAATCATCTGTGAGAGACGTCATTGAGCACTTACCACTCCACGGAAGATCGGAGGGATGAATCCGCAGTAGACAGGAAAAAAGCAGCTACAGACCAGTACCTGGGGAGAAGACATAGACACTCAAACCCAACAATATCACTTACCCAACCAGTCTGCCCTGACACGCCTCACATCCAGCACATCTGCAACATTGGCCAGTAAAGAAGGGCATCAAAACAAAACTGATGCATCCTTTTTCACCAATGCTCCTGAGGGGGTGAGGTTCCTCTCACAAATACAACAACAATGAATTACATTCATTGCACTCGAGCTGGGGGTTGGAATCAAGAGGAATAATAATAATCTTTGCATTTGATATTGTGCTTTATGAGGTCTTCGAATCGCCTCAAAGCACTTCACAGTATATACTGAAAAAGTGAATTGACTGAATATATTTTGTGGGTGATACGCAGGAGCCAATTGCTCATAGCAGTGTCCCACAAACAGTCGTAGATCGAGTGAACAAATTTTTTTTTTAAGGGATTATTACCCCCAGAAAAGCGATACGCCAATTGACTAACAACCAGGTTCCTACTTACTGCTAAACAGAGGCATGTGGAATACGAAAACTTGCCTAACATTTAGCCCCACCCGGGAATCAAACCCAGGTCCTCTCGCTTGCAAGGCAAATGCTCTAACCAATATGCTACAGGAATCCAAATCGAATCGAATAGAAAATACACTGAGAAGGGCAGGAAGTCCTCTCGAGGCCAGGACATCACAAGGGCCGTCACGTCCACCCAACGTGATAGGCGCTAGCTATATAAATGCAATTTGTTGTTGTTATCAAAGCTGCTGTTACCTGGACAAGTTCGTCTCTGGAGGCAAAATCAGAAACTAAAACGTTCTCTCCATCAGGAATGCGGGTCAGGGAGATGAAAAGTTTGCCGTGGGCCAGCTGATGAGCGTTTGACGGGAGGTTCCTGATCACAGCTTCCCTAAGAACCTCCAGCATGTTAAAGGTCGGGTGCATCGCCCCCAAGACATGCTCCCTGCACATTTTAGAGGCTTTTCCAATGTTCCAATAGAAGCCGTCTGCGAGATAAAAACGAACATCAGACAAAACAAGCAATAAAACAGCCAAACCCACTCAACCCCAACCCCACAATACCTACGCCAGCACTTACCCGCCAACACCAACCCCCCCCCCCCTGAAAAAAATCAACAACTTGCATTTACGTAGCACTCTTCACTTAAAGCAGGGGGTGTCTCCAACCAGTGAATCGCCGACAGGTGGCGTCTTGTGCATGCTCAATAAAAACGAGAAGCAGGAGTGATATCCACTTCAGTTTAAACGTTAAGGTTTATATTTCTATGTCCAGATGCATGAAATAGTTTGTGCATCTGGCTTCGTTTTCAATCGGACTCAATAGTGACACAAGTCTATCGTTCCTTCCTCTTGTCTTTTTGATCATGCTCACGAGCGCCACCTCGCCACAACCTAGCCACGGTTGGAGACCTTTGATGTGGAGTGACACCTCTTGCCATCTCGTTCCTTAATAATCTCTGGGATTAGGCAAACAGGGTTTGTCCCTCCGGGTTTGTACGTTCCATTACACGCACAGTGCAATTTTCGTGTATCGTTGGAATGCATACGTGGAACTCCCAGTCTGGATGTTCTTATGCATGGCCGCAAAACGCGGCTAAAAACATACCGTCACCCACGATTTTGTACTGCTAGTACACTTTGACCAAGGAGAAGAGGACGGAATCTTAAAATAAGACTTGCGGGGTGAAAGTAAAATCAGAATCACTCCTTTCCTGTCCTCCACCCCTCTCCGATCCCAACCCCCAGCTCGGGTGCAAACCCCTCATTGTCCAGCGCCTTGGGACATCTTCCCAATATGAAAGGCGGTATATAAATGCAACTTGTTGTTGTTTTTCACGCAATGGAGTTGTGAGACCGTGGAACATGTTATACCAGGAAACCAGCTAGCGCAGCATCTGCCCACAAAATATCCAGTCAATTCTCTTTACAGTATATTCCGTGAAGCACTTTGAGACGTCTCACAGACGTGATAAGGCGCTATATCAAATGCAAGGATTATTATTGTTATTATCATTAGCTGTGCGCATCAGCCTGGCATTTGTGTGCTGGATCATGTGGCTGTAGTTTCTTACCCAGATTAACACCACAGACAACAGCGGCAGCGATGAGGGATCCCGCCGATGCTCCATAAACTCTGCGGATTCCCCGCATCACCTGCGGAACGTGGCGCAGCAAACATTGCACCGCGCCAATCTGATACACCACCAGGAAACCGCTGCCACAGAAGGACAGTGCCTGCGGGGGGCAATGCTCCCCCTCCCGTACCAGCCACCGCCTGTCCTGCCAGCCACCAGCTCCCCCACCAGCCATCTCCTGCACCCCAACTCCTTCACCACCCTCCTCCCTCACCCCAACATGGTTCCCCAACAGACCCTGTCTCTCCCCTACTTTCCTTAGATCTCCCTGTCCAGACATCTCTACCCCCAACTCCCCAGGCCTCTCCTCCTCTACCCCCAAAACGCCCAGTCCCCACTCTGCCCCCAGACCCCCCTGTCCGCACACCTCTGCCTCCAAATCCCCCTGTTCCCCCAGACCCCTCACCACCCCTCCGGGAAGCCAGGCTGCTTCGCTGGGCTGCTGTGGGATCAAGGCTGCCGGGTGGCTGTGTCCTTGCTCCCCAGCCTCCGCCTCCCGACCACCAGGTCTCATTGCTCTCAGCTTCTTCTCAGTTGTTGCCTTTTCCATCTCACTTTCCCCTGAAGTTCCCAATGCAACTTGTGTCTCCTTTGCTGAGCCTCGCCGTCCCTCGCACCGTCTCTCTGTTTCTCCCTCTCAATGTCTCTCCTCGCTGTTTCTGTGACTCAAGTCAATTTCAACCTCCCTCAGTGGTTCTCTGTCCGTGGCTATTTCAATCCTTTCCAGTGTCTGTCTGTCTGCGTCTGTCTGAATCTAACAATGCCTTTCCCAATATTTTGGTTTATCTCAATCTCTCAATAAGTTTCCTTGACTTTCTCATTGATTTTCGGTGCTTCTTTCTAACTCATTCTCCTTTTAACTCAATCTCTGTCCATTTCATTCCCCCAGCACCTCTCCCTGTCTCTCCCAGCACCTCTCCCTGTCTCTCCCAGCACCTCTCTCTGTCTCTCCCAGCACCTCTCTCTGTCTCTCCCAGCACCTCTCCCTGTCTCTCCCAGCACCTCTCCCTACCTCTCCCAGCACCTCTCCCTGTCTCTCCCAGCACCTCTCCCTGTCTCTCCCAGCACCTCTCCCTGTCTATCCCAGCACCTCTCCCTGTCTCTCCCAGCACCTCTCCCTGTCTCTCCCAGCACCTCTCCCTGTCTCTCCCAGCACCTCTCTCTGTCTCTCCCAGCACCTCTCTCTGTCTCTCCAGCACCTCTCCCTGTCTCTCCCAGCACCTCCCTACCTCCCCAGCACCTCTCCCTGTCTCTCCCAGCACCTCTCCCTGTCTCTCCCAGCACCTCTCCCTGTCTATCCCAGCACCTCTCCCTGTCTCTCCCAGCACCTCTCCTGTCTCTCCCAGCACCTCTCCCTGTCTCTCCCAGCACCTCTCCCTGTCTCTCCCAGCACCTCTCCCCGCCTCTCCCAGCACCTCTCCCCGTCTCTCCAGCACCTCTCCCCGCCTCTCCAGCACCTCTCCCCGCCTCTCCCAGCACCTCTCCCCGCCTCTCCCAGCACCTCTCCCCGCCTCTCCCAGCACCTCTCCCCGCCTCTCCCAGCACCTCTCCCTGTCTCTCCCAGCACCTCTCCCTGTCTCTCCCAGCACCTCTCCCTGTCTCTCCCAGCACCTCTCTCTGTCTCTCCCAGCACCTCTCTCTGTCTCTCCCAGCACTCTCTCTGTCTCTCCCAGCACCTCTCCCTGTCTCTCCCAGCACCTCTCCCTGTCTCTCCCAGCACCTCTCCCTGTCTCTCCAGCACCTCTCTCTGTCTCTCCCAGCACCTCTCCCTGTCTCTCCAGCACCTCTCCTGTCTCTCCCAGCACCTCTCCCCGCCTCTCCCAGCACCTCTCCCCGCCTCTCCCAGCACCTCTCCCGCTCCCAGCACCTCTCCCTGTCTCTCCCAGCACCTCTCCCTGTCTCTCCCAGCACCTCTCTCTGTCTCTCCCAGCACCTCTCTCTGTCTCTCCCAGCACCTCTCCCTGTCTCTCCCAGCACCTCTCCCTGTCTCTCCCAGCACCTCTCCCTGTCTCTCCCAGCACCTCTCCCTGTCTCTCCCAGCACCTCTCCCTGTCTATCCCAGCACCTCTCCCTGTCTATTCCAATCTCTCAGTGTCTCGCTCTGTCTATCTCAGCCTCCTTCTGTGTATCTGTTGCTGAAAGCTGGGCTCTTGGGTTGGTTTGCATGTGTTTAAATCCAGTGCTATCCTGGAGCTGCAGTTCCACTCCTCACTGCCAGCTGTTTTTGTTTCAGATTTCCAGCATCTGCGGTATTTTGGATTTTGCTCACTCTTGTTCTTGTGTTTTCTGTAAGAATTTGGGATGCGGGGGATTGAAGGGAGCTGGGTTCACAAGTAAAACCTATTGAGCACCAAACCTTAAACCGCCTATCTTGGGCAACAACAACAACAACAAACACTTGCAATTATATAGCACCCTTCATGCGGGTAGTGTCTCGCATGGCTTAGACAGTCGTGTTGACTTTTATAGACTTGATTAAAATTCCTCTTGAAAACATTGATAAATGTTTTGAATCTCTGGAGCTGACCTATGAAGATGGGGGAGGGAGAGTGGAAAGAAAGGGGTTTCCATACCTACCTGAGCGCTCCCTCTACTCATTCGGCTTCGGCCTATCCCATGTCCTCCATCTTGCCGCCACACCATCAATCCGTCTCGACACCCCGCTCCTTCCCTTGTCTCCTTCAAGTCTCGTCTCAAGACCCTCCTCTTCAACCATATCTTCGGTCATCCTCCTGCCCCTGCCCTCCGCTCCTCCTAATCCCAATCCCCGGCACGGCCAAATCCCTGACTGTCCAGGTCTTGGGACATCCTCCCGACGTGTAAATGTAATTTGTTGGTGGTGTTTCTAACCACCTTGGGAACCACATACGGCGAGGTGGGAACATATTGTTATTTCAGGAGCGCAGAGAATTCTAAGAAAAACTGCACGGAAAGCAGCCATAGCTAGAACGGTGATCCCGCTATGCCTGTCAGAGCATATTGGAAACAGTTTCAATCTGTAAGAAAGATAATCTTCTGAAGCTGGGAGCTGGGAATTCTGCCTATGTGAAACAACGTGGCACACATTCAGCAACTCATTGGTCACGCCATGACTGGAATAGTTACCAGAGCGTAGCACACAAGCACATTAACACTCTCTTGACTCAACGTTATTGATGCCAGCCTTGGGTTAGGAGCCAGTTATTCTCAGATCGCTTATTTTCTCCATTCTTCTACTTCCATGTGACCCATTTGTAACTGGAGAAAGGGCACCACCCAATTGGCCTATCCCAAGGTCTACTTTATATGTTTCCAACTGCTGATTTACCATTTTATCCGCTAATTTTTCTATCCAATCCACGTCTCATTTCTTTCCCATGAGATTTGCTCTTTCCAGTCCAATTGCGTTTCGCCCACAATTCACTGTACAGTCACTTCACTTTACAGTATATTCTGTGAAGCACTTTGAGACATCTCAATGACGTGATAAGGTGCTATATTAAATGCAAGGATTATTATTATTATTAATACCCTGATGCTGAACTCATTTATTCTAACCATTTTGTCAATAAAGCTGACTTTATTATAGTAATTTCAGGTATTCAAAGCAACAAAGGATGTTGTCCAGACATGTTAAGATCAAAAGTGTAAACTTTTAATAACACTATTTGTTTGCGAGGTCAAACAAACATGCACTTCATCCTATATATTTGTATAGATGTAGATCTGGGGTTTCCGCTGATGGCAATACCTTTGAAACTTCTCAAGCTCCTCCTCTCCCCCCCTACAGCAACTAGTCTTCCCAGCATGGAGGACCCAGATGCTTTCAATGGGAAAAGAGACCTCCCCCAGCTTACTGGAGCCCAGTGGTCCATCCACACTTAATCTCTCCACTCACCGCTCGTGAAAGGATATCATTTGCTGGTATCAGTGTCTGGCCAGAATTCTTGGGTAGACAAGGATGGGAGCAGTCATCAATATCTGATTGAGTTTTTGAATCTCTTCCCTGAACTCCTCAGTCCACCTGAACTCCTTTCCATTTTCAGTAGAGGGTTTGTGTGACATACACAAAACCCTGACAAACCTCTGTAATAGGATAGGATGCCAAACCCAAGAACCCTAGCAACCTGATTTTGCAAAACCTGCTTGATTTTCGGCCAGGCCTTTAACATCGACACTTTGCCTAGGTCCGTTGTCATTTTGGCTCCAGTCAGCAGATGCCCCAGAAAGGGACTCTGACAGTCTTCAACCATGGATATGCTTCATAAGAACAGGAGTCTTATTCATCTCCTGGACCCAGGCTTCTAATGAGCTGAAGAGCTGACATTTCTGGAGGTGCAACTTCAGGTGAGTCTTTTGTAAGTTCCTCAGGACCTCCCTCATACTCTGCTTTCCTGTCAATTTGGAGATGTCCTGTGGCAATATCAATGCTGCACAGCCGACCTCAGAAGAGCAATCAGTGACGGTGGTCTGGTGTTGTGCTCATCCAACAGCCAGTAGAAGCTGTGCATAAATTGGTTGCCGCATTCACCCACAAAAACAGTCACTACAAATTACAGGAAATTCTGTGAAGCAATTTGAGATGTTCCGCGACATAAGGTGTGGTTTAAAATATAAGGAATATTATTGTCCTCATCCCCAGCGCCCCCATTTCCCAATGCTGCCATTTCCAGTGCACCTGCTTGTCCAACATTGTGCCCAGGTGCCAGAGCTGGGTGTGGCGATATGTAGAGTAGCTGTTGCCCGGGTGTTGACAATTTGGTCAATACAACTGTGGTCATGGAACAAGAGGAAATCTGCATTTCTATCTCCATCCAGTGAGAGGTCAATGTGCTTGGATCAATTAAAACATTTAAGTGATATACACAGATAATTTGAAAGTGAGATGAACAAAAAAAGCAATTTAGAAGAGGCAGTAATGACACAGACAAGTTGTTCAGAGTGGCCCTCTTCCATGCAGCACATTTCTGTTTTTTGTGCTCGTCACCATCAGCTGCTGCTGTGGAGTTCGAGTCCCTGCAGGTGGTGCTGCGATCTCGGTGAAACATATTTCACAGTAGTGCCAGGGGATCTCCATATAATAAAATAATAATCCTTGCATTTGATATAGCGTCTTCGAGACGACTCAAACAGTCATGGATTAAGTGACCAAATTATTATTATTTATTGTATTTTTGTGGGAGTGATTATAACCCCCCGAAAAGCAATCCGCCAATTGACTTACCACCCAAATTCCTACTTATTGCTAGGTAAACGAAGGCATGTGGAACAACGAAACTTGCCCAATGTTTCGCCCTGCCCAGGAATTGAACCCAGATCCTCTCACTTGTGAGGAGAGCACTCTAACCACTAAGCT